CATACAAACAAGCAACATTTCACTAATTTATTCACAAAGAAGAAACCAGTCCAATTGATGTGTGTACTGGTACTCATAAGCGCAACTAGGCTCCAAATTAGAGGGGTGCTGCAGCACCATTTTGAAATGTGTAAGGATGAATTTTTCTTAATTTTACTTGAAAAAGTCAATTTTTCAGAATTTTTCCTGTAGTAATTTTCCACTGGAATTTTGTTTCTGTCAGTTTTCCAGAAAAAAATTAAAATTAAAAGAATGAATTTTGCTTAAAAGTCAGTTTTCCAGAACTTCTCCTGGAGTGATTTTTCACTGGAAAATTTTGAAATTTTTATATAATGAGCTCCACACTTTCTTCTTTTTCCTGGAAAATTTTCGAAATTTTTCCTTTGCCAGTTTTTCAGAAAAAAATTTAAATGTAAAAGGATAATTTTTTTTTCATTTTACTTGAAAAAGTCAATTTTCCAGAATTTTTTATTGGAAAATTTTAAATTTTCCTATAATGAGTTCCTCAGTTTCCTTTTTCTTTTGGAAAAATTTCACAATTTTTGCTTTGCTAATTTTCCAGAAAAAAATTGAAATGTGAAATTATGAATTTTGCTTAAAAAAGTCAATTTTCTAGAATTTTCCTTGGAGTAATTTTTCACTAGAAAATTTTGAAATTTTCCTATAATGAGCTCCTCATTTTCTTCTTTTTCACAAGTTTTGTTTTATTAGTTTTCCAGAAATAAATTGAAATGTGAGAGGATGAATTTTCCTTAATTTTGCTTAAATAAGTCAATTTTCCAGAATTTTTCCTGAAGTGATCTTTCACTGGAAAATTTTGAAATTTTTTTTTAATGAGATCCTCATTTTCTTCTTTTTTCTGGAAAATTTTCACAATTATCTTTTTGCCAGTTTTCTAGAAAAAAAATAAAATGTAAGAAAATGAATTTTGCTTAAAAAAGTCAATTTTCCCTTAGTTTTTGCATTTTCGAAAAACTCATAATTTTCGTAATTCCCCCGTAACTTTTTCGTAATTTTCCCATAACTTCAAAATCATAATTTTTTCGTAATTCCCGTAATTTTTTGTACCTATTTGTAATTCTCCTATTATTTTAAAAAACTTCGTTATTTTTGAATTCCCCCCAAGTTTTGTAATTTTCATAATTTCAAAAATTCGTGATTTTCGTATTTCCTATAATTTTTGTAATTTCCGTGATTCTCTTTATTTTTATAATTCCAGTAATTTTTCGTAATTCCTGCAATTTTCCGTAATTTGCGTAACTTTTCAAAAATTGCGAAAAAGTGGGTGTCAAAATCGCAGGAAAGTGACGTTGGAATTACGAAAAATAGAAGTAAAAATTACAGAAAAATGAGGTTGGAAATGTTGGAATTGCAAAAAAGTTGAGTAAAAATGGCGGAAAAGCAAGGTTATAATCGAGAAAAAATGAAATTATAAATACGAAAAACAAAAGTAAAGATTATGGAAAAATTAAGTTGAAATTGCGAAAATGTGAGGCGAAAATCGCGGAAAAGTGAGGTTATACTTATTGAAAAATGAGGCAAGAATAACGGAAAAGTGAAGCAAAATTCGCGGAAAAATTTGCTGAAATTGCGAAAAAGTGAGTTTGGACTTTGAAATTGCGGAAAAGTGAAGGTGAAATTGCGAAAAAAAATTGTTAAAAGCAGTTATTTCTCAACTAAATTTCGTTATTTTTATAATTTTTCCTTAGTTTTTGCAATTTTCGCAAAACTCGTAATTTTCGTAATTCCCATAACCTTTTCGTAATTTCCTTAATTTTTCGTAATTTTCCAATATTCATCGTAATTTTTCTGTAATTCCCGTAATTTTTGAATAATTGCTGTTGTTTCTCAGATTTTCGTAATTTTTTAATTTCCGTAACTTCTTAAAATATTCAGTTACTTATTTCATAATTCCCCCTAAGTTTTTGTTATTTTCAAAAATTCGTAATCCCCGTAATTTTCAATTTTTTTTTTTTGTGAATTTTCATTATTTCCGTAATTTCTTAGATAATTCTCCCTATTTCTATAATTCTTCCTTAGTCATTGAAAATCTTGGAAAACTCGTAATTTTCGTAATTCCCGTAACTTTTTCATAAATCCCGTAACTTTCCAAAAATTATCGTAATTTTTCGCAATTCCCGTGATTTTTTCTTATTTCTTTCAATTTTTATATTTCCTGTAGTTCCTCAAATTTTCGTAATTTTGTAATTCCCGTAATTTCTCAAAAAACTCCGTTATCTTTATAATTCCCCCCAAGTTTGTTGTGATTCTCAAAACTTGGTAATTCCCGTAATTTTTTTTTCTTGGAATTTTCGAAAATTTTAAAATTCCCGTCATTTCTCAAAAAAATTCTTCGTTAATTTCATAATACCCCGATTTCCCCCATAGTTTTTGCAATTTTTGGAAAATTCGTGAATCCCGTAACCTTTTGTAATTCTTGTTATTTTCGTAATTTTTTGAAAATTGTCACAATTTTTTTAATTCCCGTGATTTTTTCATATTTTTCATAATATATGAATAATCCCTGTAGTTTTCAGATTTTCATAATTCCGAAATTATTTAATTCTCGTAATTTTCGTATTTTATTTTGGGAATTTTCGAGATTTTGTAATTCCTGTCATTTCTCAGATAATTCTCGTTATTTTCATAATACTCCTTTAGTTTTTACAATTTTCGAAAAACTCGAAATTTTTGTAATTCCCATTATTTTCGTAATTTTTTAATTTCCGTAATTTCTCAAAAAAACTCCGTTACTTTTATAATTCCCCCTAAGTTTTTGAAATTTTCGAAAGTTGGTAATTTCCGTTTTTTTTTTTTGGCGATTTTCGAAATTTTGTCATTTCTCAGATAATTCTTGTTATTTTCTAATTCTCCCTTATTTTTTTCAATTTTTGGAAAACTTGGTAATTTTTGTTATTCCCGCAATTTTTCGCGCTTTTCCCATCGTGATGTTTTCGTAATTTTAGTAATTATTTATTTCACCTTGTATATTAATGAATGAAATTTGAACAATAAATATATAAAACAAAATAAGTAAAATGAAAAAAAATAAATAAATAAATAAATAAATAAATAAATAAATAAATAAATAAATAAATAAATAAATAAATAAATAAATAAATAAATAAATAAATAAATAAATAAATATGTCAAACTTCGAAAATCTCTTCCAGTCCATAGTCTTCCCCGATGGTACCCATTACAGAGGCTGCGTTGCCACGCTGCACAGCTAAGCTGATCCTCTGAGTGATGAAGCTAAGAGACCGCTGACAAGGGATCTTGGAAGCAATCTCTTGGACCAACCTCTTAGCCTCATCGCCCCAATGTCTCTATGGCGATGGGAACAAAAACAAAGCGATCCTCCAGCTCTTTATATTTGATATGTTTTTTAGATTCAGCAAGTAGAGCAGCTGACCCAAGTGCTTTCGATGTTCTGTCTAGATAGGATTTTGCCAAGGTATGGCTACATGTTGCATCCCAAATCAGTTGCTTTCCCTGTTTCCATGGGATCAAAGTCATTCCATCCGCTCTCTTACCGTCATTTCTACAAATGCCGAGCGGCTCTAAAACTGCTGGGTGTTCAGCAGAAATCAAAGCACGCTTAATTATGTCATTGATTTGACTATGCCTGGAAGCACGACCTGCACTCTTTTTGCAGCTAAGCCCATGCGAGCCATATATATCTACTGTTTCGCCGCAAATGCAGGGGTGCTCCACAGCCACAGTAATTATTTGTATTTTCAATTTTTTAATTTTCAACTTTCCTAATTTCCAAAAAAATTCGAAATTTTCTAATTCTCCCTAAGTTATTGTGATTTTCGTAATTTTGAAAACTTGTGATTTCCGTTATTTTGGGAATTACCGTAATTCACGTAATTTTGGAATAACTTTGTAATTCTTTCCCGTAATATTTCGTAATACCCGTAATTTTTGTAATTTTCGTAGTTTTTCGTATTTTCTTTAATTCCCGTAATTTTTATAATATCTCATAATTCCCGTAAATTTTCGTCATTTCCGTTATTTTACTAAGTTCCGTAAATTTTCCCATTATTTTTCGTAATTTCCGTAATTTGTCTTGTTAGTTTTCGTAACTTTCCAAAAATTAGTAATATTTAAATAATTGACGTAATTTTGGAGTAACTTCGTAATCTTTTGAGTAATATTTGGCAATTCCCATAATTTTTGTAATTCCCGCATTTTTTTGTTATTCCGTGATTCTCGTCATGTTCTGTAATTCTCGTAAATGTTTGCAATTCTCATAATTTTTCATATTTTACGTACTTTAACGTAATTCCCGTAATTTTTCGTAACTTTTCAAAAATTATCGTAATTTTGAAATGAGGAAAAATAAGAATAAAATCGCGAAAAGTGATGATGAAATCGTAAAAAAAAGAGTCAAAAATCGCAAAAAAAATATGAGTCAAAAATTTCAAAAAAAGTGAGTTTAAATTCGCCGAAAAGTAAGATGAGATTAGCGGAAAAATGAGGATAAAGTCACGAAAAGTGAGGATAAAATCGCGGAGAATGAAATAGGAATCGCAGAAAAGTGAGGATAACATCGCAAAAAAAAAGTGAGACAAGAATTGCGGAACAATGAGATAATATCTACAGAAAAGTGGGTTTACAATCGCGAAAAAGTGGATTTAGAATCGCAGTAAGTGATGGTAAAATCGCAAAAAAATGAGGTAATATTTGCGGAAAAGTGAATTTAGAATCGCAGAGAAGTGATAGTAAAATCTAAAATTTCTAAATTATGACGTCATCGATGTCGTAAGTAGGTAAGTACAAAAAGTAAGAAGAAAATAAATAATTTGGTTGCACTGATTTTTTATATTAGTTTTAGGTAGTGCCACTGTAGGTAGCGCTATGGTGGGATGCCGAATGGGAGTGCTAATTTTTGCTTTAGGGGTGCTTAGCACCCCCAAGCACCCCCCTAGTTGCGCCTATGCTGGTACTACCAGCAAAAAGGTTGATCTGAGTCAAAATTTGTCTTTAAATGTCACCAATTTAAAAATTTTTCGTTACCAAATTCGTCTAATAATAAAATAATAAAACCGACGGCTAGAATGCCCATATAGTCATGCCATTATTGGAATGACAGTGAAAAACCGTACTTGGCAAACGTTGTACGAGCCCAAATATGGAAAACCGGTAAACATTACCATGTGGAATAACAAGGATTTCGAATCTACCGGTCGGGATTTAACGGTGCCTTCAAGATTTATGAAATCATGGAACGCTGTATTGAGTAAGTGAATCTTCGATTTCTGATAATCTTCAACCTGCCTTGTTTCTTATTCTTATGGGTTTCACTTTGTCTCTGTTTTTCTTTAAAAAATTATTTCAAGATTTCCTTACAATGAGGCTACAACCACGACAAGGAGCAGTCAGAAAGATTTATCATTTAGAAACGAAAAAGCTCGTTCGCTGTCTCGACGAAATAAAATCAAATGAAAAATATATTGCAGTGGGTGCGGAAAAAGTTAAATTTATAAAAAACGGGTAATTAAATATACAGATAATATTCCTTATATACTTCTGACAATAAATATTATTCTCAGATATTTAACTGAAGAAGAAAAAAAAGTTCGGGGTTTAGCGATAAAAGCCCCATCACAATGGCACCAAGGGCAAGGGCGTCATCTAGATAACGTAAAATCATTAGAAAACTTCATGGAAATGACTCAAAAAAATAAAAGAACAGTGATGTACGTAATGGTGTCTGGTAGGACATGTCAAACGCCCCTAAAAGTTGTACTAATCGAACGAGACCTTGAGGATCCTAAGGTACTTCTGGATTATTTGGCTTATCGTTTGGATGTCGGTGAAGGCATCAAATAGTGGGTAGATTTTTTTTTGCAATCAACATTTTTTATTCCAAAAACTTTATTTGTAGTTTGTGCAATAAACAAGGAAAAATAATAAAAAAGCCTTATAAACTAAAGCATGGCGAAGTATACATTGCAGTACCATTTAATGGCAAATTTATTAAGCAAGATTATTCAAAACTTTTTAAGGAACAATATCCGCAGAGACCGTCGTATATAAGCGATTGAGTTTTGTAATCAATGAATATACCTTTTTTTTTATTTTAGATTAGAACCGCCAGATGTCAGTTATGGCTGCAAAAGGAGAAAAAAGAAGGCACCTGTAGACACTGCAAGCTCCCCAGAATTAATCGGTAGTAATTATTCATTAATATAATTTGATATTCAATAATTTTTTTCTAGAAACATTCGTTGGTCCCGAGGATGTTGGAAAAAGTGAAGACCGTGTTGCTGATTTCACTACTTTTTCTGAAATTACCTTGGAAAAAAAGCCACTTCCATCAAGTATGTATAATGTTTTTCAAAGACCACAATTTCCTAGTATTTCTTTTTAGCTACACCATCATGTTGCGCACAGATGATGGCGTTGAACAAGAGAGTGTCCTTTCATGAGTCACATCCTGTAAGTCTATTTTTTATTTGTATTCTATTCATCAAAGTGGTAAGATTAGGAAATTTGAAAATGTTCATTCGATTAATTTTTCTGGCTCCCATTTCTTGCTTTGAAATCGAATTAAGGTTTTTCTTCAAGTGAAGCTGTTTTGTGTAAGAGTTTAGTGCTACAGAAATAGTGTACGATTTTTTATTAAATTGGTAAGTTTATTTTTCTTTAATTTGGTCAGATGCTTTCCTAATGGATTTATTTTTAGAAAATCAGTAAATTGAAAAATTCCCGATGGATGAATATTTTCATCTTACCATATCAGCACACACATTAAGGAATTCTCGATGATTAATTGTTTTATGTCAATAAGAAGCTCCATAATGGCATCATAATTATTTTGATTAGCTGTTCTTTTTTTTTAAAATTAATTCCGGCTATTTTTTTTGGGTAACCCAAACTAACCCAAAAGTCGTTTGAAAAACACTCCTTAAATTTTTTTGAGGTATTTTTATTTGAATGTTCTGTCAGAATCCCGAATCGGTTGACCTGTTCAAGATAGGCTTTATACAGGGTGTTTCACGAACGTCGAAATAGAGGCGTTTTGGTGTATTTCAAAGTCGATTTTGAAAAAAGCTCGGCCGCGTCAATTTTCTATTCAAGGGGGAAACTCTTTAACCCCACCGGTGTTTTGCTAGGGTGCACCCCCTGGGTGGGGTGACTTTCACCCCCCTTTTTTAGATAGGGAAGATTGAAGATTGGGTCCAATTCCAAGCACTAAAAAATCTAGACGTCAAAGTTGACACCTGGGGACCCATAGTAATCCAAATGACAATTGAGAAAGTGGGACCCCGAAACCAGCCGTCTATATGAACAAAGTCTTGAGAAGCCTCACGAGGTTCCAGAGTTGAAAGAATTCATGAAATTCTTGGAAAGAAGATTCCAGTTACTAGAAACTATTCCAGGATCAAAACGGAAGCCCAGCTCAGAGAAAAAATACACTAACTCAAGCTGTCTTTTCTGCTAAGACCAACACATGACGTACCAGAAGTTCAAAGGAATTTCAGCACAGGAGAGAAACAGATATGTTCAAGAAAAACGCATCTGCTACAATTGTCTCAGCCATGACATCAATAAGAGATGTTTCAGCCACGCAAAATGTAGCATCTCTGCAGTCGTCAACACCATACACTCCTACCCATGGAAATACAGCAACAAAATTCCAATAGGCAGCCCAACTACGAAGAAAGACCGACAACTTCCCAACCGCGAAATACTCAACGATATCCACCACCAAGAAGAGTAGAACATTATCCACCAAGGGGCGCAATATCTAACCGCGCCAGTAGAAATGAAGAAAACGTCCTACTCGCTACTGCTCTAGTAGCAGTGAGCACATCAAGTTCTCCTCAAGTTTTGAGGATTCTTATTGATCAAGGGTCACAGATATCCATTATAACTGAAAAAGCTGCAAATCGGCTGGGATTGCCACGTCATAGCATAAGAGCACAAATCTCAGGAATTGGTGACGGAGAACCAAAAGTCTCTAAATGGTCTATTAACGCACAGATCAAACCACGATTTATGAGCACATTCTCCATGGATGTCAATATGATTGTCCTTCCAAAACTTACTCAATCCATGCCAAAACGACACCTATACATAAACTGCATAGATAGTTAGAAGAATGAAGTGCTAGCCGATCCAACATTCATGACACCAGGTGCAATAGATGGTATACTAGGCGCAAAGGAATACGCCAATATCATTTTAAACGGCATGCAAAAAAGTACAGAAGGCCTGTTCAAACAAAACACAGAGTTAGGATGAATCGTTTCTGGCCCAATAGCCTCCGGATTTCTCGCCATCCAACTTGTCAGCATGATCACTCACTATGAAGAAGATATAGAGAGCTAACTAAGTTTTGGGAAATTGAAGAAATAACCCAAGCGCAGCACCTAACAGAAGAAGAGCGAGCATGCGAAGAGATTTTCGAGGAAACCACAACTCGAGACTCCGAGGGTAGATGCATTGTTAGAATCCCATTCAAACAGTCAGCAGATGTATTAGGTCACTCTAAACCAAGAGCCGCAGCAAGATTCAAGAACATCGAGAGAAAGTTACATCAAGATCCCAGTTTACAAGAACAATATTCTGCATTTATGAAAGAATACATAGAGTTGGATCATATGAGGAAAGTCGCCCGACATGAAGTGAATCAAGGGAAATATTATATCCCTCATCAAGCAGTCATCAAAGAAGCCAGCACAACAACGCGACTAAGAGTCGTTTTCGATGCATCGTGCAAAAGCTCTACCAACATCAGCCTCAATGACATCATGCACGTCGGCCCAAGACTTCAACAAAACATCGCCGACATAATCCTGCGTTGGAGAAAGCATGAGATTGTGTTCTGCGCAGAGAAAATGTACAGGCAGATCCGAATTCATCCAGACGATCAACAATTCCAGAGAATATTATGGAGGGAGCATCCACAGCCACCAATGTATGAATACGAACTGACCACTGTAACCTACGGTACAGCCTCAGCACCATATCTGGCCATCAAGACACTACAGAAGCTTACAATCGAAGAATCGAACAAATTTCCGGCAGCAAGCCAAGCAGCATTAAGAGACTTCTACGTCGATGACATATTATCGGAGCAGCAGATACAGAATCAGCCCTAGAACTACAAAACCAACTACTAAAAATGCTCAGCCTTGCTGGATTCAACCTGAGAAAATGATCTAGCAACTCACCGGCATTACTCCAATCAATTCCAGAACAGTTCCGAGAACAAAAAATACAAGAACTACCTCAGGAAGACTTCAAGAAATCTCTGGGCGTACTAAGGTCACCAGCAGACGATACCTCCAAATTCCAAGTTAAAGTCTCCGAGATAGGCGAATTAAAAAAACGACAAATTTTGTCAGAAATATCCAAGTTATTCCACCCCTTAGGATAGTTGTCTTCAATCGCAATACAAGCTAAACTCATCATTCAAGACTTAGGACTAAGAAACCTGAGCTGGGATGAGCCTGTAGATCAGGAAATATCTTCAAGACGGATACAGTTTCAGAGCAAAATAAAAAAAGTAGAAAAAATCTAGATTCCAAGGTGGATACATCTGAGAAAAACAAAAATTGAACTCCACGGCTTTTGCGATGCATCAGAAAAGGCCTATGGTGCAGTGATCTACAGTCGGATAGGAGAAGAAGATAAGCGAATTATAGCGCTGCTGCAAGCATAATCAAAAGTCGCTCCAGCAAAAAACAGAACAACCCTACCTTGCTTGGAACTATGTGCAGCAGTCCTACTATCAAAATTGATTCAAAAAACAGACAGTTTCAAATGGGTGACACCCAGACCTTCGCTTGGACCGACACCATGATAAAGGGTGACTCTACGAGATGGAAAACCTTCGTGGCAAATAGAGTTTGCGAAATGCACAGAAACGCCCCTCAAGCATCTTGGAACCACGTCAAGTCCCAAGAAAACCCAGCAGACACCATGTCCAGGGGATTGGACTCGGACAAACTACAATCAGCTAATCTGTGGTGGAAAGGTCTTCATTGGCTGACGTTTCTCCATGCAATCCCCACAACAGACAACATTCCCGACATTCAAGACGAAGTAAAAGCCACATGTCACAAAATTGAAGTTACGATAAGGAGCGATATATGGAAACGCTTCTCAAACTTGAGAAGGATGCTCAGGCAGGGTATTATCCTACTGCCGCCGATTCATCAAAAAAGGGGAAAGTCTTACTCTATCCGTTCAAGAAGTTCAAGATATTTTCGAAAAAATCATAAAAATAGTCCAAAAACAAGTCTTTACAACAGCAGAACGCAGTCGACAAGAAAAGCAAGCTACAGACCGTCAACCCATTTCTCGACAGCAAGGGCATAATCCGAGTCGGAGGAAGACTGGAACACTCTTCCCTACGACCAACGACATCCGATGATTCTTCCATAACATTCTCACATATTTACGTTGGTGGTGAGAAACGCACACAAGACCACGCTACATGGAGGCAACCAGGCGACATTGTTGTACATACTAAGCAGATTCTGGATCATCAACGGTAAGCGGACCGTCAATGCAGTTATAAATTAGTGCATCGTATGCATCCGTCACAAAGCCGAGACCGCACAGCAACTCATGGGACAACTTCCGAAATCGAGAGTAGCACCAGCACCACCATTTACAAACTCAGGAGTGAACTACGCCGGACCGATTCAAGTCAGAGCAACAAAAGGAAGAGGTCACAAATCGTACAAAGGGTACCTACATCGCAGTATTCGGTATGCCTAGCAACCAAAGCCATTCACCTAGAAGTAGTCAGTGACATGACAACAGAGGCATTCTTGGCAGCACTTCGACGTTTCACAGCCAGAAGGCTTTCATTGTGCGAATATGTACAGTGATAACGGAACTACATTTGTTGGAGCAGCACGCCTATTCAAAGATGAAATCACAGAATTGATACAATCACAATCTGTGCAAAACACAATCGTCAACTTAGGAACACAATGGCACTTCATTCCATAAAGCCGGGCTCAAACGACTCGTGTACTTGACGAATAATTGTTACTTGCGTATACTTGCCATGTTGTGTGAGTGGGTTACTTGTACAATTACTTATACAATACAATTGTATCGTATCAAAATCAAGAAACTTCTGGTATTAATTTCAATTTTGGTGTAAGTCCCAAAAAATGCAAGGTAATATTGTACAATTATTTGTCACTCGTTGGTTTTCCATTTCTTGTCGGTAAAAATGTCCCGAGTCAAAGGGATCACGATTATTCGTACACTTGCCAAGTTCATACTTGTCTATACTTGTAGAGGCGCTCAAAACGGAATGCACAAATAATTGGCTTTTACTGCGACTATTTCATTTAGTTTTTGACGAGCATCAAGGTTTAGCCAAATGTTCGCGCTCGCGTACTTGTAAATTGAACACGTCGTGTCAGCGCCCTGCTTGCCATCGCAATTCGCAAAGCTAGTATACTTGCCAAGTACGCAAATAATTGTGTATTCGCCAAGTACACGAGTCGTCTGAGCCCGGCTTTAGCAGCCCCACATTTCGGAGGAATATGGGAGGCAGGTGTAAAATCTATGAAGCACCATCTCAAGAGAGTAATTGGAGACTACACTTTGACTTATGAAGAATTTAAAACGTTGGTGTATCAAATCGAAGCATGTTTGAACTCAAGACCACTCTACCCGCAACAGAAGACACAGATGATTTCAACATCTTGACCACAGGACAATTTCTCATAGGAAGAGAACTTCTAGCACCACCAAGCTTGGAATCGACAGAACATTTCTCAACGATGGAGACACGTGCAAAAGTTGAAGAAAAACATTTGGAGCGCATGATGCACAGAATATCTCACCAGACGGCAGCAAAGATACAAATGGAAGAATCAGACCAACAATCTACGAGTAGGAAAAATGGTCCTAATCAAAGAAGAAAATATAAACCCAAACCAATGGCCTTTGGGGAGAATTATAGAAACTCACTAGGGACAAAATGGAGTAATCCGAGCGGTAACAATAAAGAAAGCAGGTGGCTTACCACAAAAAAGACCGATCCACAAGTTAATCCCATTACCGACAGAAGACATATACCATTTACCAACCACCCAAAACCACTCAGAGGTACGGAGATCAGACCGACTACGGAACGTAGCATCAACATCAGCAAAATCATATGCATTGTTTTTCCTAGCAGCCATAATTATGATGATTACAACCGCCGCTGCAGAAACAGGGCTTAAAATTAGCTATCCACAACACGGTTTTTACGTTGAACACCTTGGATCAGCAAAAATTGATAGAGGGATTTTTAGGATAGAGACAATGTATCCTAAGAACAAAACTGAAATGGAATTAGCAGAGGTATCCACAGTCGTCAGCCATTTCAAAAATATGTGAAACGAATCCAGAAAGCTCACGGATGAAGTCAAATGCACATCCCTCGTACAACATTTGGAAGAAATGGAAAATCACTCCAAATGGATATTTGCGATCATGGCTGACATTCACCACAGAACTAAGAGAGGATTATTTGGAAAATTTTTGACTGCGGTTTTTGGAGTGAATGACGAAGTATATCAAGATATCGAGGCAATAAACAACAATCAGGAAGAACACTAAGCAGACATTGTTTAGTTCCCGGCTCTTGCGTGACGGACCTGGATTAGACTTATAAGAAACCCGAAAACCCCTTTTTTTATACTTGACAGCGAACCATCAAAGAAGAAAATAAAAGTCCACTTAGGAAGTCCTTTTCTCTTATTGTCAGCTGAAGCTGGAACCTAAAAGATATCGAATCACGAAAAAGCACGTGCCTCTTGGGCCATCGAGGTTTAAAAAGCCCGGCCCTAGCAGACCCGGGCCCTGTGTTCAAACTTCAGTTGAATCTTTCGGTTCGAATTTATCTACGTGTGATAGAATTAAGGTTTATTTTCATTTCTAGCCGTAACAGGTTCCTTTGAACTCTCAGGCAACTTCCTGACTTTCTTTGGGTACCTTGATTGACGGAAGTAACTGCCTTTGCCTAGACAGAGCCTAGTCAATTGTTCAGAGCATGGTTCCTTTGGATATAGCCAGAAATGTTTACACCAAACCTTTACAGTGGTTTCATGGAGGCAGGCTTGTATCAGTGTTACATTGCCCAGTTATCTATCTTGAACATTTTTGTCTCAAACTTTAATATTCGAACAGAAGCCAGAATCACGAACAAACTACAATATTTCCAAAAACGACTTAACGAAGGAATATAAACTATTGACAGCATGCAGAGTTAGTACAAGCAAATGCCCTTAACATACACCTATTGAGTGCAAACCAAGTAGCTACCAACTTCATCAGCGAAAACAATGATCACTATGATAAATTGCTGAACATCAACTTCAACAGGGGTATGATATATGACCAAGTTTCACCAACATATACCAACGCCATCATTCAAAAATCCAATCGAAAGCTCCCAAACAATCTAAAGATTCTTTCGGCAGCAATGTCCACAACACGCACCTCAAGGTGTGTGGATATTTTCCAATAGTTGACGTGACGGAATTCACCCTATTGAAGGCAACACCGATTCCACTCAGAACTGAGAATGAAACATACTGGGCGTTGGACCTTCGCGATGATTACACCGCCGTCGACTACAACAGTCAAACATACTTTCAGCTCCATGAAAGCGACCTCCAACAGTGCATGCAGCCCTACCCACACCAGCTCATCTGTTCTCCAGTTTCTGTTAGAAACATTGAATCTAATCCGTCCTGCGTCATCGACGAAATGTATGAACGACCGCAACCCAGACATTGCCACATACAACAACACAGGCTAAAAGGCATCCTCTGGAAACGACTGCACCATCCAGACAAAACAGAACATTCTAACTCCCATAAGAAGCGCAATCGTTCCAGTGGTAGACAGCTATGTAAAAGCTGTACCCATAATCTTCAATGGTACTCTCCACAAACATCCGCCGAGAGAATCCGATAGTTTTGGAGACCTAGTAAGAGAAAAAGAGGACCTCGGTGATCGACTTCATAACAAAGTATGGCGCAGTATTCATTACCACTCCGCAACCACTAGCAGCATCACCACCATAATCATCATTATACTAGTGATTGCAGGATGGCAAACAACAAAACTTATCAACAGAAGACGTCAAAAGCAGACAAGAGACCAACACCAAGACCAAAAAGAAGACATAGAGCTAATGTCTCTGCGTTCTTCCATTCTGGAGAGGCGGCAGAATGTTTAATTAGAACAATTAAACAGTGATTAACCTTCGCCGGCGTAATTTGTCCGACTTCGTATATTTATATTTTATTCAATATCACGGTCAGCTTGCTACATGAGATTTTAGTTAGTCACAATGTTTGGGTAATATAAAAATATCCAAACATCGTAAGTTGCATTCCAGCATGCATTTAAGTAATTACCGTCACAGTGTTTTATATTTTTGCAGTTTTTGTCACGATTAGTTTACCAAACAAAATTCAATATAAAAAGGGATGTAAGATTCGAAATAAATCAGTATTCACCTAGCTTCAAAAGGTGTTTTACTCAAATCGTTTCCTGTGCCATCTCAGAGAGTGAGGCTGCTCTTTGAGAGAAAACGATACAATCGTCCCGCTGCTCAACCAAGAGTAATCTACGGGCACAGCTTGCAAAATGTTCAATTTTCGATTATTCCAGGCTCTTGATTCGGATCAAGAGCCTGGGATAATCACTCAATTAATCAATATTTTTTAATGGAGCATTTCCATTAGAAAAGTACTATTATAAATCCTTCATTTTCTTTTAGATGATTAAGTTTTTCGCTATAATAACATCATTGATTGAAGAAATTTTGAATGAGGAAATTCTCAGTGCGACACAAAATTGAAGCCAATTTCATAACTTCAAAATCTTAGATTCTAGCTGCCTCTCCAAAATCAACACTTTTGTTGTAAGTTTAACATTAGAATTGTAAATACTTATATGCAATATATCGTTCAAAAAGCAAAAGCGAAAAATTTCAATAAACATATATCAATATAGTTTTACTTTAATTAGAAAAACCATAATTACTAATAATTATACCTACAACAAATAATTTCTTTTCATTCTAGGAAAATTCGATTGATGAGTTTCAACAAGTCGATAGTTTTGTAACCACATCAGAAGTTGAAGGGTTTCAACAAGACGATAGTTTTGAAACCACATTAGAAACAGCTGCAAGCGATTCCTCATCAGAAATAACAATTTACAAAATTGAAACATCATCCATGGAAATTTTCATTACCAACGAATTTTTAATGAACAACGAAACGAAGCCCAGAGTTTCTTTGGAAAGTGGTACGGTAGTAGAGTTTTTCCCTTTGCCAGAAAACAAAAGCGAAATAAAATTGTTGAAAACTTTTTCTATGCCAATCCATTTGGAGAGGAAACTATATTTTCGAGAAAACAAAAACGATGAAACATCTATAGAAGATTATCAACAATGGGTAGAAAAATTGTACAATATTGATGTTGATTGCAATGAAACTGAAACAAAATTGGACCTGACTTCCAAAATTAGTCAAACAACTATCCAAGTAATATTTTTATTATCAACAATAAAAGAATAGTTGTAGTCTTATATATATGTATATATACATTTTTTTTTTGTTTCAGGCTCTCAGCATTGTTAACTTACCAAGTCTGGCTCTAGAATCAAGCAAAAAAGCACAACAAATACCAGTTAATATATTGATGACTCAAACTCTTGAAGGTTTTATTAATCGTATATTTTTAGATTTTCAAGAGAAGAATGAAAACCATTTTGTGGAGTATCATAATGTATTTCTTCAAAACCATCATCAGATTATAATAAAGCAAAAAATGTTGTTTGTCCTTTCAGGGTTGAACTAAATAAACTTAATTCGTTGGATGAGTTAATGATGTTTTAGCCCAAGAAATGTATACCTGGGCCGCAAAACATTTTGCGAGGGCAGGCTGATTTTTCCAGGGCTGATTGAGGGCTGTGTCCTGAGTATTGAGTCAAAAAATCACACTCGAAAGCCTTGTGCGTTCGGCCCTATTGGCCTTTTTCTTATTTATGTTTTTTCGACAAAATGACCTTTACAAAACTAGTAGATAATTACATTCTGATCAACTTTGCCTCATGACTTTTTTTGCTAGTTATTCTACTTTAGGCGCTGCGGCCATTTTAGTGCTTCGGAATTCGCAAAAAAACTAAATAGCAAACCTGTAGACTATTATACCTAATGAAATTCTCTATTACTTTGCTTGATGATATTTTATTGTAACTTTATTTCTTTGGCTTGTACGGCCTTTTAGGCATTTGAAATTTTTTATTTGACCTGGTTTTGCAGGTAAAATGTGGTGTTTCGCGAAATTGAAACTTTGCCAATCGAAAGATATTGTTGATATTGGCAAATATCTTGAGATCGGCAAAAGGCACTTTTTGCTCGTAATGCACACTTGATTTTTTTTTACAATCGCATTTGATAAAAAATACTTCAGGTTCAAAATAACCAGTAGTAAAAGCGAGCGCTTTTACTACTTTGCCTCTCTAAAGCGACAAAGTGAAGGACTTTGACGTAGTTTGACGCTCTAAAGCGGCAAAGTGGAGGTCATCAGGAAACGTCTACTTTGCGAGCACAAATCTTATCGACAAAGTCTACTTTCTAGGCCGATTGTAGAAAATAGTATATTAAAGTATAAGTGGATATTAAATGAAATAGGTTATCAATAAAAAAAAAAACATTTTGTCACTTTTCAAACAGGTAACAGGTCCCAGTATTGTCAAAAAAACATCATTTCGATTTAACACTTTCACTCCGGGAAAATGATTTTATTTTTAACCATATATGAAATGTTGTCATTACTGACTTTTCAAAAAGGACCCCGCACATTTCTTATGGAAAAGTGATCTATGTGGAATTTTGCTGAATTTTTGATATTGTGTATAGGGAGTCGTCCTTAACAAAAGTGATCATTGCGCTAATGTTCAATACCCAACAGTTTTCAAGATTTTAATTAAAAACTTTTTTAATAATACTCTTCAGTATGACGTCACTCACAGCAACGAAAATTATTACTATCCTTTCCACTTTTGACTTTGACTTTACTCTTCTCCTTTTAGAATTAGGAAAAAAAAAGATAGCGATAGCGATTAGTGACAAATAGGTAGGTATGCAAACAACACCTAGCTCTTGCCGCAATCGTCAACTTCATGTCATGATGTCTGTCATATAGCGATTTCATTTGTACCTGTTGTTGTTTTTTTTTATTTCCTAAATGTTAAAAGGAGAAGAGTATAAATAAAGGTAGTCAAAGGGATAGTTTTAATTTTCGGTGCTGTGAGCATAATGGTGACGTCATACTGAAGAGTATAAAATTAAAAAAGTTTTTAATTGATATCTTGAAAACTGATGGGTATTGAACATTAGCGCAATGATCACTTTTGTTAAGGACGACTCCCTATACACAATATCAAAAATTCAGCAAAATTCCACATAGATCACTTTTCCATAAGAAATGTGATTGAAAATGTCACATTTCTGTCTTTTCATTTTCCTGCTCCATTACCTGTCCCAGGACGGGAAGTGAGGACGGGAAATTTTTTCCGTCCTCATTTCCCGTTCACGGACGGAAAATGGAGCAGGGAAATATTTCCCGTTCTCATTTTCCTCTTCATTTGCCGACCTCATTTGGTTGCGCCGATTTTTTTTTTTTCAAGAAATTATGGTTAAAAATAATATCGATATATATATAAATCGAGGTTCAGTTTAACTCGACGCTACGCGTCTCGATAAACTATAAAACCTCTCGACCAGTAATGAAGCATTTCCCGTCTCGGATTGTAATATACTATTACCAGATTAGTGATGTTATGTATCATTTCCTGGACTGAAACCGATAACGTAATGGAGTACATTACCAGTAATTTTATTAAAGTTACGATAGTCTGCAGGTTTACTATTTAATCTTTTTGCGAATTCTGGAGCACTAAAATGGCCGCAACGCCTAAACTAAAATAGCTAGCAAAAAAAGGCATGGGGCAAAGTTGATCAGAATGTAATTATCTACAAGTTCTGTTGAGGTCATTTTGTCGAAAAAAAATAAATAAGAAAAAGGCCAATAGGGCCGAACGCACATGGCTATCGAGTGTGATTTTTTGGCTCAATACTCAGGATACAGTCTCCAATCAGCCCTGAAAAAATCAGCCTGCCCTCGCAAAATTTTTTGAAAAACCCATAAATTTCTTGGACTATTTGGTAAGTGATAATTTTTTTATGTGTATGTGGGTGCCACCGGGTTTTCTGTTGGATTTCAAATGTTGCAAAAGTATGTTAAGAGGAGTTTTTGAGGAATATGAAGCCAAATAAAATAATTCACACTCACAATTCCTATAAGAAATGCGAAAAGATCCAGAGAAACTTCAATGGTTCAAAAACATAAATAAAAGAAAACTAAAGAGACCGGAATAATTTGTTTTTATTATTAAAGATTCGATATCTCAATTTTTGTCCATTACAGGCTCGCTTTCTGTAAAATTTAGGAAATTCAAGAGCCTGGAATAGAAAAAAATATTTCCATCAATTTTTCCTATTAAAATTTTTATCTACAAGCGTGATACAAGCTTAGATGATCTCAAGCATTAACTAGTTGAAAAAATTCCCCCCCTGCCAAGGAATCTGAGTCATTTTAGGGCACACTTGCTCGGACTATGGAAACATCCAGTTATTTTTAGAACATCCCAATAGCAAACTACTCTAAATGCAAAGACCATTAGATTTAAGTAAGTTATTTTGTCAAATACCTGTATAATAAAATATTTCTCCAATTTGTAGCATGTTTTTGTTAAACTAATACTCAATTATTGAATCGCATCTAATTGGCTTTTATTCTATTGTTCTAGCAAGTATTGGGATCCATCGAAGATCTAGTTCCAATACCGATACAAGATCCAAACAGGTATTCAATTCTGAAAAACAAAGATGAAGTGTTTAATGGGCCCATAACGTCGCCAAAAGATACGTCATCAAGAATCGATAAGAAATTTTTTAGACACAGAGACAGCATTCATGTGTCTCGATTCTCAAGGGAGATATCACTGATATCAGCATCGGTAATTTGTCAGCAATTGATAGACGAGATGCTCGATGAAGTTTCTAGGAATGTATTTGAAGATGATGCAGAAAGTGAAGACGAATTGATAAACGACATGACCGATGTAGATTCTTCAGATCAAGAGAAAACATGTAAATGCGTAATAGCAGAAGAAACTCCTCCAGATTCAATCACTGAAGGTTTAGTAGATCAGGGAAGTAGATGTTCGTACATAACAGCAGACTCAGTTGATAATACTTTCTCTCGATTTAAAAATTTTTTTGCAAGTGGAAACACATCGGAAGAAGATCTGATCAATGATCTTAATATGCGAAAAGTGTCGTGCATAAGATCGGAAGAAGCAACTTGTCCAGTTGACGAAGCTAATGAACAAATTATTAAGGGACAATGTTCGTGTGTGCAAATAGACGCAACAACAGTTGGGATTCAAAAACACTGGAAAAGTAAAGACGAATTGGACGAAAAATCTGTTCAAGCTGATACAGATGAAGTGGTTTTAAATTATCACGATCCAACGACTAAAGATATTTCTGACATTTATGAAAATTTTGATAGAACTAGTTATTTGTCGACTGACACAGCCATTTCGCAAATGGATATAGAATGTAAAACAAACAAGTGCCACAAAGCAGAATGTATTCTTGGTTGCAGTCTTATTTGTTTGAAAGAGTGTCCAGACGATAATATATGTTTTAAAAATTTGCAAAAATAAAATTTTAAGCAATTCCTGGTCTATTTTCGTTTGCTATTGGTTGGATCTCTTTCCGTTATTGAATCATACATTTTTGTTTCAGAAAGAAAATTTTGATCCTCCCTCTGAAGATCCGGAACCTACGTTGGAAATAAATAGTATACCTACGAGTATTTCTGCAAGTTTTCTCGGAGATGATCTGGATCCATTCGATTATCCTATACAATCTGAAGCAGAAGAGTCAGCAGGAAGGATAGGCAGATCATCAAAAAATGCCGAAAATACATATAGCGATGTTACTGCAAAACAAGTTTCTTTCCTGAGCGTGGTTTCAAATGCTCCAACTATAATTTTAGAAAGAAAATCCTCTTTCACGGATTTAATCGGTTTCGATGAAGAATCGGATAAGGGCGTTCAAAAAAGCTGGGTACAAGATGTGGATATAATGGACAAAAGTTTCCAGACGGCATCTGCAACTTCTACTTCTACATATCAACCATTTATGGTTGAATATGAAAATATTTTTGAAAATCCTATTAATAGTCGACCTTCTGTTGCTATAAGCTTGTATAATCCAGTCCCTGATGCAGAAACAAATATTATGATTCCAGAATAAAACAACTGTTAATATGATTAGCCAAAATAAAATAAAAAATATTAGACGATCTCTGTATATTTTATTTTGCTGTGAATTAGTTCTGTTTCATTGATTAATTTTTGTTCTTTTTTTGTTTCAGGAAGGTCAATATCATGACCCTCCTCCGAGCCCATCTTATAATCAACGCCTCGAACGAATAAACGGCGTGAGATCTGAAGAGTTTTTGGAATTGAAACAACCGGTAGCTGTATATGGATATTCTCAATCAGAAAAAATCTCATCGAGCGATATTGAAAGGCAATTTTCCGTTGACAGTCTCGAGTTGGGCAGAAATTCTTCTTACATGGATTTAACTAAAATCGATGAAGGATTGTGTATCGAGGACAGTTGGGAAGCAAATGTGGACTTAGCGAAGATCTCAGCTTCAGAAATATCATTGGCTTCAATAGGATATCATCCATTTTCTTAGACTATTGCAAACTGTATCAAAATCCGGAAAGTGATCAATTATCCATTGCTTCCATTTAACTTCACTGATAAATAGAAAAATGACAAAAAGTAGAATTTAAATAAAACCATCATCAAATTCTAATAAAATAAAAAAATTTGTTTGTATCTGCGTATTTTTCTTGATTTATATAAAAAGCTCTTCCAGGGTTAAACCAAATAAACTTAATTCGTTATATGAGTAAATTGGTGTTTGGTAAGTGATAATTTTCATGTGTGTGTGCACCATCGGGTTTTCCATTACATAACCTACCCTCAAAATTGATTTCAGAAAATTCCAAAAGTATATTAGTAGGAGTTTTTGAGAAATATAGAGCCAAATAAAATAACTCACACAAACAATTCCTAGGAAATACGAAAAGATCCAGAGGAAGTTTAATGGTTCAAAAACATAAAATAAGGAAAACTCAAGAACCTGGATTAGAAAAAAAAATCATGGCTACTGGTCTACTAATACTTGTTTCAATTTTGGTCTATTCCAGGATCTTGAATGTTTGCCCTCTTTTTCTGAAATCGAGGAAATTCAAGAGCCTGGAATAGAAAAGATATTTCTATCAACTTTTCCTGTTACAATTTTTGTCAGATGATCTCAACTCTTGTTGAGAAAATTCTCAACCCTCTCAAGAAATCTGCATCAAAGAAGCTTATTTCAGGGCACAATTGCTCCATTGAAGAATAGATACTAAGGAAACATCCAGATATTTTCAGAACATCCCAATAGCAAACTACTCTCAATGCAAATACTATTAGATTTAGGTGTAGATTATTGTCTAATACTACAATAAAATGTTTCTAAAATTTGTAGCATGTTTTTGTTAAACTTATACTAAATTATTAAATCGCATCTAATTGGCCTTTATTCTATTGTTCTAGCAAATATTGGAACCAATCGAAGATCCAGTTCCAATACCGATACAAGCTCCAATAAACATGATTGATATAGTTTCTGAAGAAAATGCGAATGTATTTATAGATGCAGAAAGTAAAGACGAAATCATAAACGACATGACCGATGATGAAGATTCCTCAGATCAAGAGGGAACATGTAAATGCGTAATAGCAGAAGAAACTTCTCCAGGTTCAATACAAAACGAGTTCGCTGAAGGTTTAGTAGATCAGGGAAGTAGATGTTCGTACATAACAGCAGACTCAATTGATAATACTTTCTCTCGATCTCAAAAATTTTTTGCAAGTGGAAATACATCGGAGGAAGATCTGAGCAAGGATCGTATTGAGAGAAAAGTGTCGTGCATAACATCGAAAGAAGCAACTTGTCCAGTTGATGAAGCTAGTGAACAAATGATCAAGGGACAATGTTCGTGCTTGAAAATAGGCGCAAAAACAATTGGAATTCAAAAAGACTGGAAAAGTAAAAACGAATTGGACGAAAAATCTGTTCAAGCTGATACAGATGAAGTGGTTTTAAATTATCACAATCCAGTGACTAAAGATATTTCTAGCATTTATGAAAATGTTGATAAAACTAGTTATTTGTCGACTGACACAGCAATTGAACAAATGGATGAGTGTGAAACAGAAAAGTGTCACAAAGCAGAATGTGTTCTTGGTTGCAGTCTTATTTGTTTGAAAGAGTGTCCAGAAGACAATAGATGTTTTAAAGATTTGCAAAAATAAATTTTTAAGAAATTCTTGGACTATTTTTGTTAGCTATTGATTAGTTATTTTTTGTTATTGAATCATATATTTTTGTTTCGGGAAGAAAATTTTCATCCACCCTCTGAAGATCTTGAACCTACGTTGGAAATAAATAGTAATAGGCATCTACCACCTACGAGTATTGTTAAATTCGAAATGTCACAAAAATATACCTATATATTGTTCTCAATTATTTTTATATACAGGGTGTCCTTAGATAAACTGACACATTTTGCAGGTAAATATTTTGAAAACGGGAAAAGATAACGAGATGCGATTTGTTCTGAGAGAATAAGGATTTTTTAAAGTTTTTTTTCACATTATTGCCGAATCCTACAATTTGTTGAAATTTGGTTCTACAGACATGCGATTTTTTGAAATAAAAATAACCGCCTTATTTTTAATGAAACACCGTGTATATTTTGTCATCGTCTAAAATAATAGCCTGATTTTTCTGCTTTACAAAAATGTATAATTTTTTTTCAATTATCTTGAACTTGCATCGTGAAAATTGCACTTTGTCGAAGAAAATACCATCGACTAACCAACAAAAAATTGAGAATTAATTTGTGTTAAATACTTTCATTAACTAATTAGCGCATAGTTAACTAATAATACAAGTATTAAACACAAATAAGTGCATGTAAAACAAAAATAATTAATTATCATTTTTTTTTAGCCAGTCGATGGTACACTCTTCAACAAGGTGCATTTACATCTTTAAATTACATGCATGCTTCCAAAGGTGGTTTGATAGAAATATTTAAAGATTTTTTGCATTTAAATGAGAAAAAATTCATACTAATTCCATTTCTGAGCTTGATATCCATTCGCGGTTTGTTCTGTTTGATAAAAAGACACTACTCAATAAATCCTGAAAGTTTGAAGTCCCTTTGATTGCTTGAAGTATTTTTCAGAAGCTTCTAAAAGTAGTTTGATAGAAATATTTAAAGATTTTTTGCATTTAAATGAGAAAAAATTCATAATTCCATTTCTGAGCTTGATATCCATTCGCGGTTTGTTCTGTTTGATAAAAAGACACTACTTAATAAATTCTGAAAGTTTGAAGTCCCTTTGATTGCTTAACGTATTTTTCAGAAGCTTCCAAAGGTGGTTCCTAGGAATATTTGAAGATTTTTTGCATTTAAATGAGAAAAAATTTATAATTCCATTTCTGAGCTTGATATCCATTAGCGGTTTGTTTTGTTTGATAAAAAGACACTACTCAATAAATCTTGAAAGTTTGAAGTCCCTTTGATTGCGTGAAGTATTTTTTAGAAGCTTCCAAAAGTAGTTTAATAGAAATATTTAAAGCTTTTTTGCATTTAAATGAGAAAAAATTCAGAATTCCATTTCTGAGCTTGATATCCATTCGCGGTTTTTTTCTGTTTGATAAAAAGACACTACTCAATAAATCCTGAAAGTTTGAAGTCCCTTTGAATGCTTGAAGTATTTTTCAGAAGCTTCCAATGGTGGTTTGATAGAAATATTTAAAGATTTTTTTGCATTTAAATGAAAAAAAATAAATAATTCCATTTCTGAGCCTGATATCCATTCGCGGTTTGTTCTGTTTGATAAAAAGACATTACTCAATAAATCCTGAAAGTTTGAAGTCCCTCTAATTATTTGAAGTATTTCTTTTTGGCCAATTGATGGTACCCTTTTTAACAAAGTGCAATTTTTGAGATGTAATTTAAAGATAATTGAAAAAAGTTATACTTATTTGTAAAGAAGAAAAGTCACACTTTTTGACGATGATAAAATATACCGGGTGTTCCATCAAGAATAAGGCAGTATGTGATTATTTCAAAAAATCGAATGTCTGTAAAACCAAATTTCAGGATTCATTAATAACATGAAAAAAAACTTTAAAAAATCATTGTTCTTCCAGCACAAACCGCATCCCGTTATCTTTTCTCGAGATGTTCACCTGTAAAATGTATTAGTATATCTAAGGACACCCTGTATTTTGGACTCAAATAAAAGTAATTCTCACTTTACCTTTATTTTTTGGCTATCGAGTCAATATTCTTATCGAGCCAGGAGATTACTCGCTCGGGTCTACTAGAAAGTTTCCTGGAAAATCAACCGATTGTTGATTTTTGTGACGATTTTTGAAAGTGAGGTTACTATCGGCCGTTCAGGTAGGTAAATTCCTTTTTATCTCTGATGAATGAGTCCTTATATCCCCTCAATTCATTCAGGCACCTCCGGCAGGACGAAAAATCCGTGACTGCACTTGAAGTGACTGCACTACAAGTGGAAATTGACAAATTTGAGACCATGGTGTCCTGAATCTCAGAGCAAATCTGGGCCCCCTTTTCAAGGAAAGTTTGTGTCTTGTAAGAAGTTGATCCCCAACCATTATCTGGTTGTCTCCAGCCAGTTTGGTACCTCTAGAGCTCAAATTTGTGAAAGCTTCCAAGGCTTTACAAGGATTCCGTCCAGGCTTGTATAATTATTCATCTACGCCAATGAGTTAAGAAGCTCTTAACTCACGCATTTTGAGTGAGTTAAGAGCTTCTTAACTCACGCATTTTCATTACCGCACTCTTTCTTAGGTTTTTGAAACTAAAATGACATCAATATTATTTACTATTGATATGAAACCATGCATGGTGTTATCGTGTTTTCATGGTAATTTGGTCAAGTTTATATTGTTATTTGAACAAAAGGTATTGAGGTGATTCAGGTAGCTGTTTTTTAGAATAGTTAATACAATTATTATTGAAATTAAATTTTTTTGTGTTTTTAAAGTTAAGAGCGTATGGCGTAGATAAAATATTGTTCAATACACGTGAGTTAACCCTCATTAGGATACTTGTGTGGTTACACAACTCGTGCTACGCACTCGTTGTGCAACTTCCACACGCGTATTTTAATGATGCTGTTAAGAGGGGCGTTTAAATGAAATGTCATTTACAGACCTTCACAAATTCCTGTTCAATTCCAAATTTAGACCACTTTTCAGTGAAATGAAGTTATGTTCCTAACAATAATAGATTGGAGTAGAAGTCGAAGCATTTTTGGTTGCAAAATACGCATTCTAAATAGTAAAATTATTACCATTTTGTTGACAACAATATGCAAATTTTGGTCACGGATTTAAATGAAAAAGGAATAAACATATAGAGTAGCACACCAACAATAAATGTCCAAAATTTCGGATAGTAAAATGCTGGAAAAAATTAATAGAACAGAATTTTCGAAAATTATAATTTTTGTATCACAAAATTAATCAAAATCTGTCAAACAACGAGGTGATTGCTGTCATTTTCAGCAAAGACAAGGAGCATTTACATTTACTTCCAACTTCAAGTTAAATTTGACGTTTGATATTCTATCATTTATACATTGCAGAACAAAAACGTCAAGTCAAGACGTCAGAATTTAATGAGAATCATGATGAATAACCTAAAAATTTGACATTTCACAAATTTCTGCTTGCCCTCGACAAGCAGCTCGCCCAAATTTGAAGGGCACTTCGAAGTGAACTTCAAATTTATTTCAATGTAAATGAACCTGTGCTGCCTGTGTGGCAAGCGCGTCAATTTCAAGACAAATTGGACTTTGAAGTGAATGTAAATGCACCATTAAACCAAACGTTTGTTCAGTGCTTCTCTAAAAGATGTCGCTGAGTTTGGGAAGCATAATAACTTCTTTCAAACGCCAGTAAAAACTGTTTAACCTAGCTAATAATGTGAAATACTATTATTTCATTTGTATCTGAATAAAATTATTTAGTCCACTGTAAATTACTGTGTAAACGAATTGATATTGAAGATGTCGCAATGTACTTGTAAATTAGTCAATCACTTATAGAGAATTTGAACACCTGTGATTGAAAAATATTTAATGTATGTCGTAAAGCCCAAAAGATGGCGTGCTGGCTCTTATCTGACGCCCCTCTTAACTCACTTGTATCGTAAATATCTATTACCTATGTGTGTTTTAAACGTGCCATCTTAACTACCGTAACTTATTTTTACCTTTTCTTTATCGCCCCCTATCGTTTAGCTTTATCAGCTAATTAATTATCTATGTAAATTTTAAATTGTTTACCGTATAGTAGTGTTTAGCTAGAATTGCTAACTAGTGTTTAATAGTATATTACATACCGAGTAGGGAAGTGTTTCATTACTGTCGAGAGATTTATATAGTCTAGACTATTAATCTCGAGACAGAAATGAAAACTTTTCTCCGAGGTTTGTATACTATTTTATTTGCAAGCACACCATTAATTATGATGTTTCATTCAATTTTTTTAATATTAAAAAAATAAAACAAACATGTCAAAATATGTCATTCACCTGTTTTGACGTTTTTACCTGATATGTTCTCATTGTTGCCAGTAAATAAATTAGAGTGAGGGAAATCGGTGAGGGAAGTTGAATAGGGAAATCGGTGAGTGAAATCGAAGAGGGAAGTGACACAGGTAAAGTGTCACTTTCAAATTTTTAAAAAGTCAGTAATGTCGAGATTACATATATGGTTGCAAATAAATATAATTATTAATTTAATTAATTAATTACTATCAGAGTCAGATATTAGCTTTTATTATCGTTTTCTTTATCATTATTTATTATCCAATAAGTATGCATCAATATAATTATTATAAATTTATTTCCTTAATATCGAGTACCTACTGATCGATATAATATATTGTGGATTCATTAATCTTTAAAAGGTTTATTTAACTTTTAATTTCAAATCAATAATGTGGTAGTTTTGCAAGGTAAACTAATGATGAATCTTTTTTGAACTTTAGAGGTAAGAAGGTTGAGCTCTTCCGGGAACCCTGACCCCTTGATTTCACCTAGCAGGTTTTTGATTTTCAAAACTGCCTAGGGTCCAATTAACACAGATAGACGGAACATCCCATTGATAAAATAGCTTTGTTTTGGTTGACTACATGATTATGGGCCAGGGGGGGTGAACTGTGAAAGCGGCTAGGAGTAGGATATCAAATGCTTCCGCTAACTCCGCCCCCACCTTACTATCGCATATTTGGCAACTCTGAAAATGAAACCAGGACACTCTGCGAAATATTGTAAACAAAGAAGAGGCCAAGGTGGGAACGTAAATTTTATTGATTGTTTGGATGGTAGTTTTTCCGATGACTCCTCCGAGGTAGATTATTCTACGACGGTGGAGAGTAATTTGGTACGTTTCTGAAATTTACAATGTTTCTTCATTTAGTGGCGGATCTAGAGGACCATCCTGGGGGGGGTAGAACTTCTCAACCAGTAACTGGTCGTGGTCTATATTTGAAGGGGTTCACCCTCAAAGTAGGACCAAGTAGGGGAAGCCGCCGAAGGCAGAAAATTATTTCGGGTGCCATGCCCAAAACGCATTTTAAGCCTCCAAAAAATAATTTGTGTGTTTTTTTTAATAAATACATTTTTTTATGCCTCTCTGGGGGGGGGGGGGGGTTATTACCCCCTTTACCACCTCCGTGGATCCGCCACTGTCTCCATTGGAGGGTCCGAATTCAAGGGAATTAGGCGGAACTTGAAGTTGTACGTTGTATGCAATGGTTAGCGATTTTTTAACTAAATTCAAAGTTGAGTTTACCTTGTTTAGCATTGATTTTGATACAAAAAATACAGTTAAGAACCTTATTGATAAATTGCCCTTGTTATTCAGTGACAGAATCGGTCAATATTAATATTCAAAGGTTTTTTTTTAAAGTCCTTTGTAAGTGTTTTGTAAAGCTCGTCTCGTTCCATTGGCTTTTCAGGGGGCAGTGGCAAGAGAGTTAGGAACCATGATTGCTGAGGGTATCATTGAACTCATTGAGAATAGCGAGTGGCTAGTGCTTTGGTTCCAGTTTTAAAGGAGAACGGCACAATAAGACTGTGTGGCGATTACAAAGTCACGATCAATAGATACCTGGAAGATAATAAATATCCATTGCCAAGAATTGAGAAAATTTTGGCAAAATTAAATAAAGGACATTTTTTTTTTTTCAAAAATAGATATTAGATCTGCGTATAATCAGATTGTTGTCGATACTAGAATTCTGTCGATTAACACTCCAGAGGGGTTGTTTGCTTTTAAACGCTTGCCATTTGGTATCAAAACAGCTACACTCTTTCAACTGCTTCACTGTGGCAGTTTGAACTTCTGTTATAATATAAAAGTAAAAATCATAAATACAGGGTGTCCGAAAAATTGCGTAAAAGCTCTACACGTAGTAGGGGACCTTTTGAAAAACCCTAGAAAAATAATTTAGAAAATCCTTCTCCAGCATTATTCTTGGTGATATGAAGAATTAAATGTGAAAATTCACCTTCGAATTCTACAGGTAATGATATAGGTATTTAATTTAATTCTCTGACATATTGTCAACGGGATATTTCCAGTGTTGCAAATTTTGATAAACATTAAAATGCAAATAACTTTCTCAAGAATGCCACTAGATTTTTTAAAATATTTTCCAGGAGTTCCTTGAAGGGTCCTCCACCACGTAGTGAAGAATTTTTACGCTATTTTCGGGACACCCTGTATAACTCGAGACCAGACGAGACCACTCGAGACGAGACGAGACTTTGGTACTCGAGACCGAGACTAAGTCACGGTCTCGTCTCGAAATGTCGAGACGAGACGAGATCAACCTTAAGTCTCGTCTAGTCTCGTCTCGCGGCACCACTAAGTTCAAATGGTCAGAGAGCTGCGAATCTGCGTTCAAGAAAATCAAGAAAATTATAGCTTCCGAAGAAGTCTTAGTTCACTTTGATCCAGAATTGCCCATCATCCTTAGCACCGATGCATCCAACGTGGGTATTTCAGCGGTGCTCTCGCACCTTATTGATGACACAGAGAAAATCATTACCTGCGTCTCCCGCACTTTATCAGACCCTGAAAAACTCTACTGCCCGACCGAAAAAGAGGCCTTGGCAATATATTGGGGTGTAAGGAAGCTATATCAGTACCTACCAGGGCATCACTTCACCCTTAAAACTGATCACCGACCGTTGATAGCACTATTTGGGTAACACAGAGAAATCCCACAGATGTCCGCGAACAGGCTCCAGAGTTAGGCAGCTTTTTTGTCCATGTTCGACTACAAGATCCAATATATCAAAGGGGAACAAAATATTGTTGCAGATTACTTTAGTAAAGCAGCGCCACAGGAGGCAGTTGCTGAAGAAAAATCGAAAGTGTTGTTCGTGAACTTCACGGAGCGTCAAGACGAATGGCCAATAAACAACAGAGAAATTAAAGAAGAAAGTCTCCTGGACGTTAACCTGGAAAACGTGAAAACCTGCATCAAAGATGGTTGGAAAGGTAAAATCAGCGAAAATGTAAGGCCATACTACAACAGGCGTGATGAAATTTCGATGGAGGACGGAATTCTACTCTCTCATCGAGTAATTGTGCCAGGAGCACTGAGAAAGAAAATTTTGTCGGAGATTCACACATCTCACTGGGGAATGTCAAGGATGAAGGCCCTGGCAAGATCATAATATGTGTACTGGCCCAGCATTGCGATGAATCCACCCAAATCTGGCTTGACACCATGGCCATTAGCATCAAAAACATTCGAAAGAATTAACATGAATTTTCTGTTGCAAAAGGCAAGGATTTTCTAATTCTAATAGATGCATTCAGCAAAGGGGTAGAAGATTCCTAATGACCAAACTTCCCTTTTCACAAAATAAAATGTCACTTTTAGCACTTATATCATGAATAACTATTATTGAAGGACTTTACAATAAATTTTTTATTTTATCACAAGTTTTAAAAAATTAAAATCTTCGGTTCAAGGCTCTACTTGTACAGGTTTGGGACAGCAAACACCAGCATGACTAAAAAGAAAAGTACTCGTAAATATTGCATAAGTGTAAAAAAACTTTCTACTTACTTTTCAACAACGCATGCGTGCTTGGTGTAGGTATCAAAATCGACCAAATCTGGATAAACTTGTGGACAATTTTTCAATAACGTACAAATTCCATTTGTCGTGTTGAAACTGTTTGAACATTCAGGTTGAGCGGTAACTAATCCATCCATATCATAACTAACTGAAGAAATTGATTTTTAAATAGTGATAATAGTAAATAATAATTTTAATGTCTTTTACCTCCTTCAACTAACAGTGTTTGTCCAACAACGTTTTGTCTTAACCATGGAAGTAGATTGAAAAGGGGATTTTCACTAGTAGTAGTTGATGTTAGTGGTAATCTAGGGGTACTGTAATAGACACCTGTAATTTCAAAAATGGAGTATTTTGTAAAGAAATTACTCTTCAATTATTTTTAGAATTTCTTGCTTTTGAAATGTTTTTCTTCTTCTGGTAATGAGAGAATACGTAATACGAATAACTAATAGAAATAATAATGGAATAGAATGCCGTGAAAATGTTAGTACGGAATTTAGACTATACTAGAAAAAGTAGCTTAGCTTTTCAACACCTGGTTTTTGAACTTCCTATACGTACCATCTTCACTGTCAACTTCATGCCGTATATCTATAAGGTCGTCAGCGTCGTATGATGCTAGAAAAATATTTAGAAATAGAGAAGCAGTAGAAACAGTAATGGAATCGGAATCGGCTGTACATAAATCCCGACATAACATCAAACTCCCGTATATATTGACCGAAATTTGTTCCCGACAAATTTGATTGACCGTACAAAAGGAAAATTCCACTTCTGGCTATATTTGGATCTTGATTTGATTTGATCTCATTGATTCTGAGGCCTAAACCTAACCCAAATAGCTATAAGAGAGTTCCCTATTCTTCTCATCAAAAGGAAAAAGACGAAAGATACTTCGAGTGCTCAGTGTTTCAAGACGAAATCATTCAGAACTTAAGACACCGAACCGAATTTATAAGTGACAACGCTGTATGGTTTTGGTTGTCGGGATTTCGACAACTGGGAAAAATACTGTCAGGACAAATACGTTTCGAGCCAAATAGGTTTCAGGACAAATAATAGGATTTGGGACAAATATTGTTGCAAAATAAGGTTCGAAACATAGGACTCCGATGACATGTCGGGATTTCTACGGTCAGGACAAATACGGGATTTGACTCGGTCCCGTTGTGTCGGGATTTATATCTACTGTCAAATACGCATCACCAACGTTTATTACGTAGAATTTTGGATTATTAGAGTACCCTCACCACATTTATAGGTGTTCACTATTCTACCAAGGTGATTAGTAAAATTATAAGAATTGTTAGTGACAATAACTATTTTTTACAATTTATTTATTCCTTGCTCTGTGCATTTTGTTGTCCCATTGTATCACGGATTGCTCTGATTTTTCGGAATTTTGCGTCGTTTAAATATGGCAAGTGAAATATGCCTGTAATGTAATAGAGTTTTTCAACATATCTAAAAATCATTCTCATACAAATTGCTTTTGTGATGAATTTACTTGTTGCTTCAATAATAATTTAATATTGTTGAACAATAAAATCTTATACAATTGTTGCTCAAAAAGAAAGTAGGAATTTCAACAATTTGAAAAAAATTCTTACCCGTCAATTTACTAGCAGCAAACTGGTAAGCATGTGGAGGTGGCGCAAACCAAGCTTGCCCTTGAAAGAATTTTAGTTAAAGCAACAGAAAGTTTAATTATTAGTAACAAATTAGTTAATGTAAGGTGGTTTGAATACAAATATACAGTTGCATGCATAGAAATTCAAATAAAATACAACTATTACCAGGTGCTACTGGAGGTATAGGAGCCGGATATCTGGAATGCATCATGGAACTTTGATAATAATTACTGGCGAATCCACCAGCAGATCCTCCTCCTAAAACAATATTTTAAATAAACAGATCCAAAATAAACAACTACAAGTTCAAAAAACAAAAAGATCCAAATATAAATAAAAATTACGCCAGAAATAATTTTGATAATAAAAAGTCAGCGAGACTTACTCAACAACGATCCATATTTCATCGGTCTGCGGAAGGCGGATACGTAACCTCTACGAAAGGAACCTTCAAATTATTTTAAAAAATAGCTGTTTTACTAAATAGAGAAAAGACTAAACTGACCTTTTCTCGAACCTCCAGAAAAACCTTAAAACAAAAAAAAAATTTCAAAAAATTTACATAGGTACTTAATTTTTTCCCCAATGGCGCTCATGCTAGGCACATTTTTTTTTATGCTTGGATCATCATGCTTTGTCTTAATAATACCTACTTAAACCTATCAAATCTTTTAAAAAAAATGTTGCAGTGACATGAAACTTGTAGTAAGTAAATTGGTGAAAATAAAAAGAAAAAATGGGAAATGATCGAAGAAAAAAATACTGCAATAGATGCCTATAAATCAAGCCAAAAGCATATCACAAAGTAAGCAAATGAAACTTACCTAAAGAATAAGACGCAACTCCTCCCGGTGTTCCACTTAAAGGTATTGCTGGTATTCCATATTGACCTAACAAGCAAATAATTCTAATTTTGAATTATCCTTTACTTATATTTACCTGGCTGAGAAACTTTAGAAGCATCTTCGGTACTCACAGCTGAAGAAGCATTCGGTTTGACAACAACCAAAGAACTTACGTCGGTGACAAAAGAGTATTTCAGTGCTAACCTAAAATTAATGAGTTTTACTTCACTTTGTTTTAGGGTCAAGCAAAAAATTGTGACGTCAAATGCGACAAAACGTTCTTATAAACTACATTTATACATTAATTCAATGGATGATAATATTTGGGTCGAGAAATGCGTCGGTAGTCGACATCCAGTAACGGGTTTCTGACGACTGAAAAAGTCAGAATCGGAAATCCAGATCAGAAAAGAACCTTTCCATATATTGCCCTTCGGATTTTCAAAATTAGTTGCGGATTTACCTATTGAACTTTCGAAAACCTCCGCTTCACATAGTGTTGACAATTCTAGTGTTAAATTTAAGACTCCTATAGGCATATTCTGTGTTTGTGTGGCAGTCCTATTTTCTAATGTTAATAAAATAATTTTTTCAATCTTCACCTTTGTTTTGTAAATGTGTTCTGTGTTGGATGCGGCTTTAGCCACCAACTTTATGCTGATAACAGCATGAACACCTATATTTTTATATATAATTATTATACTTAGGCATGTCGTATATGACCATATTTTCCCTATACCATTTGAACTTATGCTGATGGTGGATCTATGATAGATCCGAAACATGTACAACCCCCCTTCCAACTGATTATTTTTGTAAAATAAAGAGTGAAGATTAACTGTGTGTTTTACTCCAGTTCTTTAACTATTCTTTTCACTGTGAGACATGGACTACTATTTCAAAATTTTAAATTTAAGCTACAGCAGCCTTAAAGAGACTATTTTTGTCCGACAGATTGCAGAGCTAACACTATATAAACTAGAGAGGCGTAAGAATTGTATTCCTGGCTTTCCTAGAGCTGAAATGTGAACTTGAACTACAGAAGTAGGTATTGAAATTCTGGATCAATTCTAGATTCTAGTATGATGAGATCCTAAATTTCCCATTTTAAGTCCAATGATTTCAAAATTTTCCGTCCACTTGTTATGTGAGAGGCTGGAGGATGCAGTTTCTTCAATTATATTATTGGAAGTTGATTTTGTATAGATTTTTTCTATGGATTAGTTTTTAAATTTTAGTATGATGAGCTCATAAGTTTTCTCTTTCAAATCCAAAAGTTTCAAAATGTTTCCCTTATTAGGTTTTCCAAAAAACAACAAAATACACACATAGACAAAATTAGGGGAACGGACAAAATTTACACTAAGTTTGACATCAATTTTCTCTTGAACCCTTCTCTCGATTTCGATGAATTTTCCATAGATTGTAGCTTGATTCTTCAGTAATACATCTGGACGTATTACTGTTATTAAATGATTCGTCTTTATATCATATACAGGAATGGAATGAAAGTCAGTAATTTTCAGAGTTTTTTGAGACACCCTGTGGAGTGAATCACTGGAAATTCAGAACAGTTTTCAGCCTGATCTTTCCCGAACATTTTCATTTTTTATTCACTCTGATATTTTCAATATTATTGAAAAAACAGAGTTTCGAAGGAAAGGCGGATATCAATGAACTATAACCAAAAACTGGAATGCGAACACATATTGACGAACGTGAAGCCTAGTGCCGGAGGGGGTACTGTTTTTGTCGCACTCATTATGTTAAATGGCGGAAATTGCTTCCAACACGTATTCCAATTGATGAAACCTGTGAAGGTAAATATGACAAAACTTTCCAAAACGTCATATGTCAGCGAGCAACAGAAAAAAACAACATTCCTCTTTGTGGCATCTGTCTTTCATGGCTACATTTTTTTGGCAGATATGGCAATGTGTGCGCATTCCAGTTTTTGACTATAGTTCATTGGCGGATATTGACCTTAATTTTCTCCACATGGACATACGAATTGGATATGAAAATGTGTCGTTTTCTAACTTCAAGTCGTGTGTGGGTGTGCGAAATTAAAACTGGAAAATCCACAGGTTGCTGATAGAATGGTAATCGATGAAAGATTTTAAATTGAAATTGAAAGATATCGAAACTGGAAAGAATATTTTTTCACCTTAACTTGCTTTACTTCCATACTCCACTCAGCTGGCCAGCTCATTCAAGAAGTTCAGTTCCAATGCGAAAAAGTGCAATGAAACCGTCTTGATTCAACCGGTCGCGGCAAACGAAAAACCGCGGGTCTATTTTCTTGAACTACACGAAGCGGGCGAAGTGTTTTTGGCAACTGATTTTACTTGTCGGCAGTGTAGGTTTAAAAGCCAAATTTAGCAAAGCCGTATCAATTCTTAGGCATAAAGCACGCGCAATTCGATTAGAATGAGAGAAAAAAAAAATAAAGAAAAAAAAAAACGAATCAATTTCCATTCCCAAATAGGATGTGAAATCCTCCAAATACCCAATTTAACCTACAACTATATACAGGGCGCGTAGACGAAACTGAACAGATACTGTGGAAACCGGGGTGGAAACTTATAAAGGAGAAAAACAACAACAACAACAAACAAAAAATTACTTTTCTGAGGCCAGAAAAAAGACAAGATATCCCATTGTTACTGATTCAAGGGTAATTCAATGTTATCCAGATGAAGTACCTTAGAGCTTCTTGTGTAGGTCCCTTTTTATCCTCAGCAATTTCCCTTTGCTCCAAAAGTTGCTTAACAGTCAAATAAGCCCAAAGACGTTCCAAACTTCCTACCGAATTGTAAACTGTAGGTTTCAATTGAATCAAACCATCACTTGACCAACATTCAGCTGGAGGAGGAATAAAACCAGGATCTAAAACAATTAATAGTTAATTTATGTGTTTAGTACAAATACCTGATTAAATTCTTTACCAATTATTCCAGTTACATACAATTCGCTGCCTTTAAAGAAAACAGGGAAATGTGTTTTAGTAACATTCTTAACTTTGTCCACGTATTTGAATGTTACATTTGCCAATAATGGAGACGAGATTTGTTTGTAGAAGTTTTCCAGTTGTAAGTAGGCATCGGCTGCTTCGTAAATATGTCTAGCAAAACCTTGATTTTTCAATGAAATTTTTTGTAGAAAGGCTCTATCTGCTCCGTCGCCGAAGGATAAAGAGAATATTGGGACTTTGTGAGTATTTAGTTCGGTAATCTGTAAATATTAATTTATTTTGTTTGCCTGGAATAAATTAATATAAACTCTTACAGCAGAAGTTATTTGTTCTGGAACGGAATTTCCGACAGTTGGTTCACCGTCAGTTAAAAATACAATCATCGGTTGGACGTTTTTATCATTATTGCTCTTGGCAACGACTCGAAGTGCTATTTTCAGTGCTGATTCAATATCCGTGCCTCCATTAGCTTCCCATTCTTTAATCACCTAAAAGTTAAAAAAGAAGAAACATGAAGAATCTTGTCCATACCAATACAATTTTTCTTCATCGTGTGATAGGATAAAGAAATATGAAAAATGAGCAAACAATTTCTTACCTTCTTAGCTTTATCAATATTTTCTTGGTTGGCAGGTACTGAAGGTGGTAGATGTTGCTCTTTAGGCTTGGTTCTTTCAGTAGTCGGTTCATAAGCGAAATAAGCTTCGTCACCTTTAGTAAAGGTAACTTGACTCAAAGGCACATTCCAAACTTTAACGACAGTGTTGAATTCTACAATGCTGAAAACGTCTTCCGGTTTCAGTTCGGATAAGATGCTGTCCATGGCTTCTTTCAGTTGGGTGATTCTTGTTCCTGTGGGATTTATTGTTTTTGGTGGCTTTTTTATGAATTATTGAAGTCTTACCAAACATGCTGCCGCTGGTGTCCAGGACGAAAACTACTTGTTTTTTCATCGGTCGCAGTTCTTCGGGGGAGAAAAAGTGTACGAAGTAACCACCATCAACCAAAACCTTGAAAAAATTTCGTTAATATTCATGATTTAGAAGAATTTCCTGGAGTTTGAATCGTTTGAGAACAAGAGGATCGAAATTTATTTCTCCTTTGCTTTGGACTTGAAAAAGGAGAAATAAATTTCCAACCACTGGAAAAGTTTCCTGACAAAACCATCAGTGACGTGGGTAATGGAATTTTTATTTCACATGCATTTATTATTACGCAATTTAATATACAGGGTGTTTGGTACATCGGATAGGAAGTTTTTAATGAGTGATAGTTGGGGTCATTTGGGTGCTGTTTGACCACATTTACCCTTATGCCCTGTTACTCTTATCACCCTGTTCATTACAACCCCCTCAACCTCTCCTGTTAGTATGAATTTAATCCCATGTACAATTTTTGAATAATTGTCATCTGATTATATAATTTTGTATATTTTGTAGTTAGTGCCATATTTGTGAACACAGCAATATATGAAACCAAACATGGTTGTATCAATAAGGATTTTTGTGTTTTACGATAGTAGTGCTAAAATCCTCCATCTGTCAAAAACTAATTTTCGGCAGTTGACATACAACACATGTTTAGCTTTTAAATTTCAGTTGTTGTTGTTGTCAAGAGAAAGCCAGAAGTGTACTTTGAGTTTATAATTATTAAAGATTATCACAAATCGCAGTCCAACTTTTGGTCACTATATATTCCTCAAACTCCCATAGGTTATGGGCCCAGCGATAGTTGGACACTGTTGGCTGTTAGTAGAAACTGAAAAGTAAAGTGAATGCTTAGTATTTTTAAGTCGTGGCAGTGAGGTTCACTGCGGCAGACATCCAAGAAGTGAAAGTTATAGCATGGCAGCTCAAACACCGCAGCACGGGACACCCTTCAACGGCACAGGCTTTTCTAACTGGGAATTTAGGGTTAAGTTAGCCCTCGAGCAAGCTGGAGTGCTCTACGTTTTGACAATAGATCCCCTTATTGTTAATCCTTCAGCGCCTGATGTGGCTGCAAACGAGAAGGAACTGAAAACATGGAAGAAAGACGACGTGAGAGCCTAAAATATAATAGTGCAATGCTTAGCAGACAATATGCTGGAATTGATAAAGACAAAACTGACAGCTGAAGAAATCCTAGAAACTTTGAGCAACACATACGCTATGAAAGGCATTTCAACTCAAGTTATGCTACAAAAGAAACTTCGATGGCTAAAGTTTTTGGCAGAAACCCCCTTAAATATTTTTTCAACTACCTTTGAACAAATAGTCTGTGAATTGAGAGGGGCTGGCGAAAAAATTGAGGGCAGTGAAGTAGTCTCACAGCTACTATCAGCAATACCAGAGTCATATCAAGCAGTTGTCACGGCAATAGATGTCATGTTTAGCCAAGACGAATCAAAAGTCACCTTAGATTTTGTAAAAAATAAATTGCTGCTTGAAGAAAACAAGAAAAGAAAATAAAGAAGGTGAATCAAGCACTGACCAGGCAGCATTTGCAGGATTTCGAAAAAATTGGCAGAGAAGAGGGGAACATTCTCGAGAAAATTATTCAGGAAATTCCTCAGGAAATTACGAAAGGAAGCCATTTCCATTCAAATGTCATAACTGTGGAGTCGAGGCCGGGTCATGAAGTATGAATGCCATAAGTTTAGTAAGGCTGGCACTGGAAAAGTGCATGTAGCTGAAGAAAGTATTGATGATAGTGACAGATCAGGTGATGGAATAACATTTCTAACAGAGGGTGCAAGTGAAGATATCTCACAAATAAGCGAAGAATCATGTGCCATCCAGTGCAACAGTAGAGAGATCAAATTCATAATAGATTGTGGTGCAACGAATCATCTGGTAGATGACGGCATTGGACAGTTTTTAGTTAACACGCAGGAAGTCTCATACTCAATAATAGAATCTGAACTTGAAAACTGACAGTGACCAAAATGTTTTAATAAAAAATTTATGGGTATGTAATAATCTGTTTCATAATCTACTATCAGTGCAAAAACTTGAAGAAAATGGTTATCAAGTCCTGTTCACAGATAAGCAAGAACAGATAATTAAAAATGGAAAAATGGTTTTGAAAGGCCATCTATGTGGAAATCTCTATGTAATTGCACTAAAACTGAAACAGCACAAACACATTTAACATCAAATTAAGTGTTGCTTCAGCATAGAGGAATGGAACATTCAAGCAAGTTTCCTACACCTAGTGTTTGTGAAGTGTGTCTTCAAGGCAAACAAGCAAGATGGCCTTTTGAAAAAATACCAAATGAAAGAAAACCAAAACGTATCTTAGAAGTAATGTCAACGGACGTTTGTGGACCAATAAATCCACCAATCCACGATGGAAAGTCGTATTATGTGAGCTTCATTGACCATTTCTCGCATTTTGGAATGATTTACTTGATGTCGGAGAAGAGTGAGGTTATTAACAAGTTTACAGAATATGTGCCCCAAGTTGAAGCAAAATTTGGTAGAGTAAAAATCAAACGAGGAGAAGCCACTGTCGTTAGCGCTGACAAAGAAAGCAGATTTCCTTTTCTCTGGGTCCCTCCCTCCCATTTGAAGTGAGACAAACGATAACGCGCGTGGCTTCTTCTCGGTTGATTTCTACTCTACTCGAATTGCAAGATTGAGATGTGAAAATGGTGGTGAGTACTCGCCCACTGAATTTAAGAAAACATAAGGGGAATAGAAATTCAGTACACTGTTTCTCACAATCCAGAACAGAACGGAGTTGCAGAGCGATACAACAGAACTATCCTTGAAAAGGCAAGGTGTCTTGTTTTTGATGCGAAACTAGAAAGGAACATGTGGGGAGAAGCTGTAAGAACTACGGTGTACCTAACAAATAGAATTCAAACTAGAACATTACCAGAACATCAATGTCCTGCAGAAATCTGGTATGGTGCAAAACCAAAACTGAATAAAATCAAGCTTTTTTGGTGCAACAGCTTATAACCTAATACCAACCTACCTCAACACTTGACTCCCACAGTAAAAAGTTGATAATGGTTGGGTACACCAATAATGGCTACAGGTTGTAGGAACCAGAAACTGAGAAAATAGTGGTGGGAAGAAACGTAGTTTTTGATGAAATAACAAATGAAGACCAAATTTCTATAGAATTAAATAACGAGAAGGAAAAAAACGAAAAAAAAAGAGGTTTCAGAACAAGAAAAAGTTATAGAGCTTGAAAATGGACAAAATGAGACGGAACAAAACATCAGAAAAACCAGCACCAGAATCAGACAACTTCTTAAACACTTAAAAGACCATGACTTAGAGTTTGAAGCAGATTTTATGGCAGCTCTTTCTGCGGATGCAACAATTTCTGTAATGAAACAGTGAAAAATGGTGGCTGGCAAGAAGCTATAAATCAGGAACTGGATTCGCTCAAAGAAAACTGCACATGGGAATTAGTGTCTGCACCTGAAAATCAGGAGATAATTGATTCAAAATGGGTATTCCGCGAAAAGAACCTCAATGGTGAAAGTGTGAAAAAGGCTAGGCTTGTAGCTCGTGGATTCATACAGTACTCACTTGATGAAGATGTGTACGCACCAGTTGCTAGAATGGTGAAGATTCGTGTATTATTATCCCTATTTCTTGAAAATAATTTATTCGTGCAGCAATTATAGATGTAAGTTCTGCATTTTTATATGGAACTCTAGAAAAGCCAGCGTACATGAAACAATCACAGGGACTTGATGAAAATCCTAATCTGGTATGTAAACTTTAAAAATCTTCGTATGGTCTCAAGCAGGCACCTAAATGTTGGAACAGTTTGTTCCATAAAAATTTTGTGAAGGTTTAGAAAGATCTAAAAAGGATCCCTGCTTAGGTATATTTTGAAGTTAAAACTTTTCTTTTGGTGTATGTAGATGATGTGATCATATTCTCAGAAAGTTCGGATTGATTAGCTTACTTAAAGTCAGAACTTTCGAAAATTTTTAAAATGGAAGAATTCAAAAATTCAAAAATAACCTTTTTGGCACTGGAACTACAAAAATTTGAAAATGAGTTGCACATTAGTCAAAAAGGATTGATAAACAAAGTTTTACAAAAATTGAAAATGTTAGACTAGGAATTTTGGTTTGAAATATATATTAAAAGTAACAATCCTAATGTTTTAATTTCTTTCGTGGATTCTGATTTTGCTAATAGTATTGTTGATCGTAAGAGTATAACAGGTTGTGTGATCAAATTGAATAATAATATAGTTTGCTGGAAGACAAAGAAACAAAATATTGTAACTTTATCCAGTGCGGAATCGGAATATGCCGCTTTATCATCTTGTATAACAGATAACATGTTCTTGGGCCACATGCTCACCGAGATTTTAAGTACAAATAATATTTTTCCTATTGCCATCTATGAAGGCAATCAATCGTGCATAAAAATGGCTTCAACTTTGGAATCAAAAAGAACGAAGCACATTTATTGATGTCAAACACCACCTTTGTGACATCCTGTATGATTGCGACAGTTTGTATAGTTATTAATATATCGCTATGCATATGCGTGGTGAATGTGCGGCGACTGAGCATCGGATGACCGAAAATAGAGGAAGTTTTTGCCAAGTTGAATGGAGGAGAGTATTTTTCAAAAATTGACATCAGATCAGCATACAACCAGATAGAAGTGGACAGGATTCTTAATCTGGAATACCCCATTGGGGCTTTTTCGCCACAAGAGATTGCCATTTGGAATTGAAACGGCTACAGCAATTTTTCAAGGTATAATGGACCAACTCATACAGGGTATTGATGGAGTACCTATGTTCATTTTTGGACGACCTAATAATCACTGGAGAAACCACAGAGAAACACCTGAAAAACTTGGAGTTGGTCTTCAAAAGGTTGACAGGGGCAGGTTTCACATTGAGAAAAGAAAAATGTTATTTCTTTCAGATAGAAGTAAATTATTTAGGTCATAAAATTAGCAAAGAAGGCATTAAGAAAACAAGCGACAAAACTAAAGCAATTGTAGAAGCACCAATACCGAAGAATGTGTCCGAGGTATGATCGTTTGCTGGAATGGTCAATTATTATTCTAAATTTATACCAAATTTATCCACCTTGTTACATCCAATTTACAACCTCCTCAAAAATAATACAAAATTTTAATGGTCAACTAGATGTGACACAGCTTTTAGGGAAATGAAGAAGATTTTCTCATATGATAACGTATTAATGCATTTTGACCCAGATTTGCCAATAATTGTTACTTGTGATGCCTCTAATGTGGGCATTTCTGGGGTTTTATCACAGATCAAAGACGACCAAGAAAAAACCGTGACTTGCGTTTCCAGAACTCTATCTTATTGTGAAAAACGAACCATGGCAACAGTGGAGAAAGAAGCACTTGCAATTTATTATACCGTCAAACGCTTATATCAATATTTGTGCGGTGTTAAATTTATTTTAAGAACTGATTGCAAATGCTTGGTAGCTATTTGTGGTGAAAACAAAGAAATACCCCAAATGTCAGCAAATCGCCTTCAACGTTGGGCTGCTTTTCCTTCAATGTTTAACTATCAAATTCAATATATAAAAGGTTCAGAAAACGAACTTGCAGATTATTTCAGCAGAAGCCCCATGGAAGACCCACAGGTTTCTGAAGACAAAGGGTTATTCATAAATTTTACCGAATCTCAAGAAAAATGGCCTATTGACAATGTGGAAGTGAAAAGGGAAACAGGAAAAAGATCCTGATCTTACAAGAATCATAGAAAATGTGAAGAACAATAAATGGTCAAAAAACATATATGACTATTATTTTGTCATATTACAATAGAAAAAACCAGTTATTCATAGAAAACAACATCCTACTATGGGGTCATAGAATAACAATACCAAAAAATTTGAGACCAAAAATATTAGAAATAATTCATTCTGGCCATATGGGTATTTGTAAGATGAAAGCTCTTGCTAGATCCTTAGTTTACTGGCCAAAAATTGATGATAACATTGAAAATTTGGCAAGAGCATGTTTCCCTTGCTTGGTAAATAAACAAAACCCACCTAAAACAGACTTGACTCCATGGGAATTGACCAGCAGACCGTTTCAAAGAATACACATCGATTTTTTGGAGTTTAAAGGAAAGATGTATCTCGTCATCTTGGACTCGTACACTAAATGGGTGGAATGTTTCCAGATGAAACAAATCTCAGCTTACGAAACTGAGGAAAAACTAAGAAAAACTTACGCAAGGTACGCTATGTAAAAAAAAAAATAAGTAGTTTCTATTGGTTTCTCCACTCCCCAAGAATATATATTTTTTTTAATTTAAAATTGAAAAAAAAAAAAACGCGACGAGGATGGGATTCGAACCCACGCGGGCAGAGCCCATTGGATTAGCAGTCCAACGCCTTAACCACTCGGCCACCTCGTCCTTGAAAATAATTTAGTTATATCGAATTTATATTGTGTGCTCATTTTCCAATAGAATTCTTTCGTGACGTCATGCCGATTAATATGGAAAAAGATATTTAGAAAAAATTGGTGAAAAAATTTACATTTTTATTACGACCTCTTTGAACTTTGTTTATTGAGATAAATAAAAAAATCAATATATGTAATTTGCCAATTTAAAAAAAAAAAAATGGCTTTTGTAAAACATCAATGTCATCATAACATTTACCATGTTTATGCTTCCCGGTAAACTGTTTTAACAGAAAACGCTTTACTAACGTGTTTTTTTAACCGATTTGAAAACGGTTTAAATACTGCGTGAACATCTCGAACCGTTTAAAGGGAGTGCCAGCACTGCTTGATGTTATGAAATTTAAAAACTGTTTTGGGGGAAAGCCCTGCTATAGAAGTATAAACACAGGATAAAACGTTTTAAGTTCGAAAACGTTTAGGCAGTTAAAAAGGTTTAACGGAAGAATAAACTTGGTAATTGTTAAACATCTCTCAAGTCGAGGAAGTTGTACACAATCTTGCAGCATTGCCTGATGACTCGAATAAATCGAGAATTCGATTTTTCCGCGAAATCCTGGAATTAGTCTAGCGAATTCAGAAGGAAAACAAATTTTCTGGACAATTCTATAGAGACGATGACGCGCAATAAAACGGAGTCGGCCGCCAAGGAAATCAGGATGTTGAAGGTGAACGCGAGTCGATAGTAAAAGAGTGAGTTGTGATTTAGTTTTGTGACCATTTCAGGTTGATTTCTTCTGTTCTATACTTAATTTATCAAAATTATTTCTTACCTCTCCTCCTTGAGGATCCCTCTCAACATCATACTGAACAATAAACTGACCGCTGAGCCCGTCCTGTTCCTTACCGCCCAAACTACCGCCCAAAACTTTTTGCCTGGCCACGTCCGGACTGAAAGTGACAACTGCCGCCGTTTCGTTCACGTTTTGAATTTCAGCTTCAGGATCTATATTCGGGCTGTTCTTAGACACTTCGTTGCCCGATCTTAACGATGGCGTTTTGACGAATTTCAGTGGACGACTTTCCATTATGTTGACCTTTGATTGGAAAAATAATAATTTTAAGCATTTACGCCATTTACTTAAGAAATACCTACTTTGACTTCTAAATTTTTAACAGGTTGTCCAGGATGGATGTTGAGAACAATATCATATTTCTCATCTTTCCTCAGTAAAAGCTCCTCATAGGTAAGATAGAAAATTGCCTTACTTTCAGGTTCGACATTAACTGAAACTGTAAATCTGTTTGAATCTCTGGCGCTGACCGCTACGTGAGCTGCAGAATGCCCACTAAAAACAGCCTAGAAAAAATAATTCAAAATATTTCTGAAAATTTAAGGTACTATAATTAACCTGGTCGTATGTTTGTTTGGCTTCTTCTTTTTCTTGCACGTAGGCCTCATATTTCTTGCCATCAATTTCCATCACGAATCCGGAAATGAACGCTTGGTCTGGCGTCACAATGGAAAAAGTAGCTTCTTGAGCTTTCGAGTCTAGGTTTTTAACTTTGCTAGTGATTACTGTTTTTGCGTAACGATTCGATACGTTGGTGTCTACGCGCATTTCGTAGATTTTTGGTACCGATGGAACCTTAAAAAATGCATTTGTTAGAAGTGTTTTGGTTAAGCTAGTTTATATTTTTACCGAAGGGATGGTATTTTTGTCAGCTTCCGCTTTTGGTGGCTCTGTCGATGATACAACAAGTGATCTTTTATTCTGTATATGAGCAGTATCGGATAGGGCAACACATAGGAGTAGTGCCCCTACAAGGGTAGAGAATTTAAACATTGTTTCCACCTAAAAAAATATTAATTCTTCAATAAATTGGGGGTCGCCTAGTTTGTTTACTGAAGTACATAACTATTGAGGTTTTGACTCAACTTTGGCAATAATTTGAAGGAAAAGATCATTTCATGATGTCTTAATTTACTTGATTTCATAAAAATATCAATACTACAACCTATACTTCATAAGTTGAAGGCATACCAAGAAAGACTAAGAAAATTCAAATAGAAATATCTCACTTAATTTGAAAAAAACAACCATTACAACTTATGTTTGGGGGACTTATTGATAAATCTAAATTTAACATATTTTGGAGATTTTAAAAGTCAAGGCTATCAAGATTACTGACCTATATGTAACCTCTTATTCTTAGTAGCCTCAGATAAACAAAACATTTAGTTTTAATTATTATTTTCTGGTGGCAACAAATAACAATAAAGCTGTTACACCTACATCAATGAAATCTAGAAAATAACCATTGTCATGCAAATTAAATTATTTTTAATGTTTTTGCGTATTCAAATAAAGTATACCTATACTTGATTACATAATCGTGATCTATACTAAATCACAAATTTGACTAAATACGAAGGTATAGCAATAAGCAGATATTATAGAGGTCCTATATAAAGGGTGATAGTTTTGGTCCTCATTACATGAGTCCCAAAACAATCAAATCCCAGACAGTATATATACAACATCTTAAAGACATCTATTTTAGGTTTGCATTATGTTTGAAAGTCTGAAGACCAAAAAAAGACGTTGTTTTGAAGACGTCCATAAGATATCTTTAAGACATATCTCAATTGAAGACGTCTTTAGAATGTCTTAGACCTAAAAACGTCTTAGAGACGGGGTTTTGTAACATACGATGTCTTTGAAATGCCTTAATTGAACACGTAAGCAGACGTCTTGAATGTCGTTTGTGGACTTCAAGTTGTCTGTGTGCTGTCTAAGATTTTTATCTGAAAAATATGTTGAGAACGTCTTAATGGACATTTTTTTCTAGTGCAAATAAATGTTCGGACAACTTCGAATGTCATAAAGACATCGAAAATCGACGTTTTGAAATCGGAAAAAGGTCTTTTAGAAGAACATCCACACTGATATATGGATTCCTATAAACTTGAGAAATCTTAATATGAATTTAAAACTCAAAATTCTGTAGGAACCAAATCAGATTTAATGTCCCATTATTAGTCAATTATGATTTCTAATAGGTTTTTTTATCACACTCATGATAAATCTATGTGATTCATTTTCCATTTAAAGTTAAATTATTGTCTTCTATCAAAGTGAACATCCAAAATATAATGGCATATGAATCATCTTTGAATCATTGCAACACATTGAACAAAGCTTTTCAGCATAGAAAATCAATTATTTATCTAAAAAATATCAGGTCTCTTGTATAGAAAATTAAATCAAGCCTACCCCTTTGATTTTCCTCTATTACTTGCACTGGAGTGTTGTTCTTTTCACAAATATTCAATTAAAACTGACCAAGAATTTCTCCAGACCAAATTATTTATCCACTTAAATTTGTTTGTAATGTTCAGCATAAAAGATAATTGACTTTTAAGTACTTAATACAAGTAACGATAACCTGCACTAAATCTGCGGTATTGGAATTTCCAATCAAAAGCTTATCAATAATTAAGTCTTTCTGGGAAAGTCTGAGTGAAAAATAGTTAATAAAATTAATTAAGTCTAGCTATACTAAGCACTCAATAAAATACTTTCTTCGAAGTTGAAAATATCCGGGTGTTGCGTCAATGCACTATAATGGGATCATGGGATTCACATCAGATTTTCATAATAATAAAAATACCTCCAGTACCTTGTGGATAATAATATCACTTATTATTATGTGCATGGTTTTTTCAGCAAAACGAAATTCGGTACTAGGAGAAATAATGGAATATTAAAGCAGCCAAATTTGCACAATATGAATAATGTTCATATAATGTATTTTTCCAGCATTTAAAATATCTTCGAGACTAAATAGGTTTTTTCCAAACTGTTGTTTTTGCTTAAAACTTTTGAATTTTATCGACAAAATTACTATATTAGTTACAATAAATAACAAATTACATAATAATAACAACATATTTTAAATAAAAACTAATCAAAATATTATTTTAGTAGGTACTTACTTTTCTAAGGAATCTAACTTATCGCTGATACAAAACAACACCCGGCTTTTCAAACAAACAATAACAACATTTGAGCTGTGGTGTGGCTCAAGTTAATGCTAATAGTTGACTGTATTTGCTTTGTTTTATGTTTATACTGAGAAACCGGTCATTTCGTGACCGGTACTACTTGAGTTTTAGTAGGGTGACTTATGTACCAGAAATAAATGATTTTTTTTTATTAGTTCAGATTAAGTTGATCACTTAAGAACTAAAACTACTAGAATGACGAAATGCAATGCTAATTTTCAAGGTAGGTACCTACTTGAATACAAAATTTAACAAATTTTTGAGTTATTGTATGTGTATATTATCAGATAATTAGGTCTTTGCCCATGCACTATTGGAAGTATTTTATTCAAAATAGTTTGTGTAATCATTCAATGGGGAATGGGAATATCCCAGAATAAATTTAATGAAAATCAGCAAATCTCACGGACGTTTTTGGAATATTTTTGTTTGTGTTTACCTAGAAAACACATATTAAACTCAAGGCTATTTTTGTTCTGCAAGTAAAACCTTTTGAAGTTCTTTCATATTTTATTTCAAATATCTCTGATTGTCTCTAAAGATGTCATTTTTATTGCCTACGCGTATGCCTCTACAATTAGAAGAAGATCTTCAAGACCATTTTCAAAACTTCAGGAGAACTAACTAATCACGCATTTATCGACCAATATATAAAGGTGGGAATTAAAAAAGTTCTTCAATTAGATGTTATCAGAAGAAATATGAATATAACTACTAGTTTGAAGAGTAAAATGAAAAACAAAAACTTCCAAAACTAGTACCAGAAGATTTAGAGCAAGCTGGTGAAAAGCAATTCACCACTAATCCATTGTCTTCTCTCAATAATTGGAGACGTTCTACAAAAAACCTTATCAAAAGTTCAGAAGAACTACCTATTCATATTACCCAGACATCACAAAGCATGTAAGATTATACTCTCTTATAATTCTCCTGAGTTATACAATGAAGAGACTGAAGAGAGATCATCAAAAAACATCTTTTTTTTGCGATATTCTGTTCTGGGAAAAAGTTTTTTGATCATGGTAAAGGAAAGTAGACAATTTTGTACTTTTTTAAAATATGGTAGGGTTTGAAGGTGTACTATATTGATCAACAGGGTAGGTACAACAGACGCAATTTCTCTCTAACTTTTTCCGATCTTGAGTATCCAATGACAAGCAAGAGAAATTATGTCTCAAATAATTTTAGCCTTCTAATTGAAGATATGATGATTCAAAAGTTTCTAGACATTTGTTCCAAACTTTATTAGTACAGGTGTATATCAGGACAATAATTCTTAGAAGGATTCTAAAATTTTATTACAGAAAATGTCAGAAAAATCTAAAATTAAAATTTACATTAGGTACAGAGATCGTTTCACGAGGGTTCATACTTTTGACATCGAACACGGCATAACTTTGAGAAAAAAAAAGGGTTGTCGAACATTAGTTAATTCGTATGACATATTCAATTTTTTTGACAAATTAAAATTAATTTCTGGCACATAGATTTCTGGTTTAAGAACCGACGAACGTTCTGACGTCATTGATTTATTGCAGTCAATTTCTATTTGGTAGAAAAAGGAGGCAAAAAATATGAACCCCTGTGAAGCAAAGGCATAATAACATAGAAATTTAAAGAAAAAACAGAATTATTACAATTATTCAATCAAACTTTACCAAAATTAACTAAATCACCTCAATTATACAGGGTGTCCGGAAAATAGCGTAAAAGCTATCCACTACGAGGTGGAGGCCTCTTCAAGGAACCCCAGAAAAGTTGTTAAAAAAATCTGGTGGCATTCTTAAGAAAGTAATTAGCAATTTAATGTTTATTAAAATTGGCAACACTGAAGATATTCCATGGAAAATTTGTCACAGAACCAAATTAAATATACCTACCTATGTACCTACCTAATTACCTGACAAATTCGAAGGTGACTGAAAAATGTTGTCAGATCAAATTTTCCTGTTGTAATTTAGAGATTGTGCAATTTTCATAATGCGTTTTAAAAGTTAATAACAAATTTTCATAAACTATTATGTAATGAATCAACAAAAGATACCTAACACTAACACTTTGTACGAAATATATATGTATTGCAATTTGAAAAAAAAAAAATCAAAAATAAGAAAATCGAATTTCCACATTTACCTCTTCATACTTCCAAAAATGGTCGAGAGGGATTTTTTAAATTATTTTTCCAGGGTTACTCGAAGGATCACCTACTGTAGTGGAGAGCTTTTACGCTATTTTTCGGACACCCTGTATAGTAATTCAGCAGTTAAAAATTCAAAATCAGTGAAATTGCATTGACAGAAATTCCAAATTCATTTATAGAAGCAATTTTGATGATAACCTAGACTCAGACAGCACACAAAGTCTTCAAAGACGTATTTTTTAGGCCTGCATTACGTCGGAATGTCTGAAGACCTAAAAAAGACGTCCAGAAGACGTTGTTATATCCATAAGATATATCCTCGGATATATCGTAAATTCACATCTTAAAGACAACTATTTGGTATAAACCAGAGAGATCTAAAAGTGAATAATATGGTTTATGTATTGGAAAGAGATTCAAAGACGTGTCTTTAAGATATCTTGTTGAAGACGTGTCTTTAAAATGTCTGCCAGTGGTAACCCAACGGTAACCACAAGACACTGGGTAACCTTTAATATATTTGTTTTATAATGTGTGTGGCTTAGCCAAAACCATTGGTCAAGTTTCAGAATATTCAATGTAAAGTCTGTTTTTTTCATAAAAAATTTGAAAGCATTGATAATTTTACATTGTATTGCCAACATAATTTCATAAAAAACAGACTTTACTCAACCCGTAACTATGAGTTTGATAACCAGTGCAGGTGACCATCAATTGTGAAAATAGACCTTAGGGACGTCTTTAGGATGCCTACAAAAATTTCCCACAAAATTCGTTTCTCATTCAATTTAGAAGTTATTATTGGAAACCACTATAGAACTTTGGTAAGCCTTTTGGGAAGTTCAAAGCACTTAAAATTCAATTCAGAATTTCCAAAAGCATTCTGTAGCGCTTCAGAACATTTTTGGAAACTTCAGAACCATTTTAGAATGCTCCAAAACATTCAAAAACAGATTTACAACACAGTTTTTTTTACAATTTCCAAAAGCATTTCAGATCAGTTCAGAAGTTTGAAACCCATTTAAGGACGCTCCAAAACACTGAAACCAATACATGCCGTACGTTCGTTATTTTGGTCCGAGTTCTCCGAGCTTGACTTTACCGTTCGTTTATTTAAAAAGTGTACTCGGTGCAGCCTCATTCGCGTTCGTTTATTAAAATTTCTGGCACTTTAATTCAGCGTTCAACTGCTCTGTTCGCTCACTGGTCACGTGATTACGGCTCCGCTCAGCACGCTCTGCTCTTTGAGCAAAATACCGAACGCAAGGTGAAACATTCTTTATTCACTATTATAGGATTCAGGTTAAATAAAACGCCTTTCAGAAAAGCGAATTTACATTGCTGTAGACTGTAGAACTTTAAAAAAGCATCCAAAACAGTTCAAATCCAAATAAGTTGGTTGGACTATCTGGGTGGTATTCTTTCTTTGGATCAAAGAGAGGGGCCATGCAGCATTGTTTTGGGGTCCTGAGAGAGGCATAAAGATTAAAGGAACCTTCTTTAAGTTCTTTATCCTTTCTGGACGTTTTGAAAAAAAGAAAATCGTAGTAGTGCCGTCTACCGACGGAGGCATCTCTATTTGTCACACGAGATTTGAAACAAAACAAAGTTCCTAAATTATTATAGAAATCTGTAAAATGCTGCATTAAGTTGTTGTGCTATCTATTGTAAAAAAGTAGCAAAATATACAAAAACAGAATCCTGTATTTTTTGTGACATCTACAGAATCATTGCTAAACTACCTTTCAACTGTATTTTTTTATGGAAAAATTTAAGAATCTACTACATGTACCAAATAGCGCAACTAGTTCCAAACGGAATATGTTGTACTTAAAAATAGGCGTTTTGTTTAGGAAACTGTAATCCTGTCTGTCAAAATTTGTGTGACCATGTGCTTTAGTTGTATTCCTTTCACACCTAGGAGGAGCTCCGGAACAGCTCCGGGGCGTTACGCGCTTATTCCTTTCGAAAAGTGTTTGTTGCACCACGCATCTGTTCCTTTTAAATCAGGGGCGACTAACACCGGAGCGAGAAGCTCGAGTGTTCCAAACTCTTGGAAGGAATACAAATTTTGTAATTACGCGATTTGCGGGTATTTTGATTGGCTTGCATGTATTTTTCGAACATAAATAAAAACCGTGTTTTTTTTTCGTGTAATTTGGAAAATTTGACATTCTAATCTCTTTATTTT